CTCCCCAGTGATATGCCCGGGCCAGGCAAAGGCCAGTTCCATCTACGGCGCGGGATGGCGCTCATCGGTGAGGCTGGCGGTTCGCCCCCCCTCGGCTTCCCGCCCAGAGGGGGGGAATACACTGCGTAGGTCATCGTGTCTCACAGCACCTGCGGCGTCCCACGCCCTGGGTGCCGCCAAGGGTCGAAGCAATCTTGGCATCGGGGGCGGAATGCTTACTTGGAGACGAATTTGGAAACCAACAAAGGGATACAGCCATTGGCACTGATGCTCACATGCCCCCAGGGTCTCTGGCGTGGGGTGGGCGTCCAAGGGTTCACGTTGTTTGTCGGTCCCTACGCCTAGCCAAGTCAGCCGTGAGCACTCTTCGTGCATCTGCCCGTAAAGTTTCAGAATGTTGGGAGTGCGTCCCTCGTCGTGGGTAGCGTTGTTGACGCTTTGCCCCTGGCCTTTCCTTTTCGACCTCTTCTCGCAGCGTCACGAAGGCGAGGACGCAGCCCGAAAAAAGAAACGCCGCCGCGGCGATCAGCGGCCTATTCGCGTCCCACTCCTCCCCCCTCCAATTGCCGACACACCGGATGATGTACAGCGGTTATGTGCGCGCCATCGGCGATGTGCGGGAAGAGTCGTAGCTGCCGGGCCTTCTGTCGCAGATTTGATGCGTCTGTGAGATGTGACGGCGACCTGTGGAGCAAACCAGGCCGAGTTCCTCGTGAGGTTGGGTGGGTGTTGGCGTGCCCCGATGTCCCGTAAAGAGTAGCTCGAGTGCTTCGTAATGCTCGGGCATGCTGCGATCCCCCCGGGAACACGGGACGGCAGAAAAAAAGGTTGCGTCCCAGCAGGAAGGCAGAGGTGGGCAGGGCGCACCCTGCGCACATCGAAGTGCTTTGCGTTTGTGCACGCACAAACGAAGCAACCTAGTATGGACACGCACACATGCTGGTGTATGCAGGTGACGAGGAACAAACGACAGTCAACCGTGGTGCGTCCATGCCATGTGGTTGAGCAAACCAAAAGGGGCATAGGATGGGAGACTCGTCACATATCACACTTTGGCATGGCCCGGGTTGCTAGTGCTGGCGCCGCTACCCGCGGTCCCGCACTGCCGTTGGTGTTCCAATCCACCCCGACAAGCAACCTTGACCCGATAGAAGGGGTGAGAAGCGGGGTTTGCAAGATGAGAGGACTTGCCGTTCATTCCAGCCCGCCCAAGCCAGGGAGTCTCTCGTCATAGCGCGTCTCCGACATGTTGGTGGCTGGGGCGTGGGGGGGAGGTGCGTTAGAGGGGTGTCACCGAGGCTGCATAATCGCACCGAGATCTGGAAGCTGTCGTTGAGATTAGAAACCAAACGCCATAGGAACGGAAGGTCATCGTCGGGGCTGGGTAACGGTGGGCGCAAACTGGGCTCTTCGCCACCAGTTGCGCGGGTAGGCCCAACAACATGGGGAGACGTGCGTCGTATGCGAATCGTAGCAGGCGGGACAATGTTCTCTCGAGCTTTTGGCCTGCGCTCCTGTCAGTGGAGAAGTCAGGAAACACCAAATCACTCGGCCCGGCCGCTTCCCGGGTCACCAACAATGCCTTGGATTTTACATGTCAACAGGGCCACTCGGCCGAGCTGGACGCGGTACCTCTCCCTGCGTCGTCTCCCTGCACGCACGTTCATACTTCGTATAGCCCAAACGCCATATCGGGTATCCTGTGTGACCCCATCGGAAACAGGGATGGACACACCCTCGCACGACGACAAATCTTCCCTGACCTCGGAGATCTTCTGACGCATGTACCCGTGGTGGTATCAGCTCGGCACACCTGAGCTGGCAACCGATACGTCGTCGATGCTGCCGCTCGGCAGCGTGGGGTTTCCCCGAACTACACGGCTGTCGTTGACGGTAACGCAGGAGTGTCACGACGCACTGACCGCCTGGCGGTTCATGGCCTGGTCTCTCGACTTGGCCCATCTGATTCGTACTTTGGTTCGTATAGTCGGTACAGTACAGTACAGTACGACGATGAATGCGTGCGAAGGAGGCAGCGGGCGTTGGGGCAACATCATGGAGAGTTGGGGCAACTAAGTTTCGGCGGCAGACATCTGATCGCGTGCAGGGTGTGGCTGGACGGCTGAAGAGCCTGCCTGACAGCTGGCACCTGGAGAATCAACAGTGGCATCTGCCATGCACTCACCTGCAACAGTAGCTATTGGTTCATCGAATCCTGAGCTGAGCCGGGCCATTCGCTCTGTGAACAAAAGTCAAAGGTTCAGCCACGTGGGGTGGAGCGGCGCGGGGAACCGGCTGATGGCTCGCGACGCCAGGACTCCAGGAGAGGAAGGGCGGCGCCCAGGCAGGAGATTGCTTGGCCGGCAACAAAAAGCAAAACCCTGGCGGCCGCTTGGTGCTTGTCGTGAACAGACCGGCCGGTGCTCCTCGTGGCTGTTTCGGAGAGTATGCTTATTTGGGTGAAGGGCCCAAGGGCTAGCCTCGCGCTTGAACACAGAAACGCCAAGGGCGCAACGGATCATGGCTCCAGGCTGGGGGATGGCGTCAACCAAAGATAGCAGCCAGCGCGCGCCCTGACATTCCTGTCTCAGTCAAATCTTGCGGCAAGTGCCAGCTGCATCCCAAGCGGGCGCGGATCACATCGTTAGCACTCGTCACGGGCCGCCTGACGCGGACGGGTTTCGGCGAGACCATCATGACTGCTGTTGGGGGGTGGTGGTGCGTGGTAGTGGGTATTATTGGACCAAGTACGAAGAACAGAGGAACGCACGCCCAGAGAATCGTTGCGTGTGGAGGCGTGGACCACGTCTGAAGGCGACACCGATGTCGTGTCCCTTGCCGATGCGCGTCCGCGGAACCATCGAGAACAGCCAGGCCCTGGTCGATTAGCAAAGCGCTGCGGCGGAGCTCATGCGTCTCTGGCTGACTTGAACCGGCCAGCTTCCACTCATCAAGCCATGCCTCGGTAGCCCACTGCGCGCAAGGCGGGTAGCACGGGCCAAGGAGGCTGCAGGACGTGGGGTGGGACGTGATGCGAACACCAAGGACGTGCACATGGGAAGTGAGATTGATTCAGATGGGGTGGCTCGCAGTGCACCGGCGACGCGGCAGCAGGGCGCATTCCTCGGCACATCAAGAATGTTGCGTTGGGGATAGTACTAGGTGCTGTACTGTAGTCCTGTAGCTTCTGCCATTGTGGGAGATGTGATGGGGGACACACGGGGGGGAGCAACCAACGGAGCAGGTAGGTACGAGGTCTGGGCTGGTCGGGCAGTGAGCAACGCCCGGCAAGCCGCTGCCTGGGACGCCTTTGCAAGAAAGAACCGGGAGAAGGAGCGATCGGCCCGCCCTGCCAATGTAGATAGCACTGCAGGCACTCCGTACTCCGAAAGGTACTCCGCGAGGAGGCAGGTGCTGCCTGGCAACAGCAAGCTCACGGAAGGCTGCTCGACTTTCTCGTCCTTTGCACCTACCTGATTGTCCCAGAGAAGGGTATCGTGCCTTCCACGAGCACCTCAATGACGTAGAATGTGGAAGAGACCGTACTCCCCCAACTGCCAGGTACCTGTACAAGACGCCTCACCTACCTTACCAATGACTTCTGGGTTTGCCCCCCATAATCTGCGACTTCCTGCAATGACCACCAAGGCTGCATTGATTGGGAGGAAGCACCACCGCCACCAGGCTCCTTCCACGAATCGGCCTCGGCTGTGATCGGCCCATTCTCAGGGTAGTGAAGGCAGGTACGATGCGGTACGGTACGGTACTGTACACGCCCGCCTGTAGACGCGAGGTACGAGATACGAAGCTGGCGCGCCGAGGTCCTGCCTGCATGCTCCGTTCTGCGGACGAGCACTGCGTATCTCTTGCCGCCCGAGACGGGAGACTGGCCCGCCGCGGCTCACCGCCATTGTTCTCCGAGGCCGGGAATTCTGCATTCCTCATCCTGCCCCATGCGCTGTCCGACGGTGCGACGTGTCTCGAATCTGGCCCGGGACCGCCATCACCAGCTGCGAAACCGCGTTCCAGCGTCGTCGCCTCCCGCGCCCTGAGTTGTCAGTGCCCGCCATGATGCCCTCACCGGCCCCGCCGCACATGGCATCGCGTCGGCGCCGCGGAGATGTCTGGCTCGGTTTGAGTTGGTGTCTCGAGGCGCTGCGATGCGATGCGATGCGTGCGCCGGGGCGCCGTCGAGAGCCAGACCCTCCCAGCCTCACAAACTTGGCCTAGCGTCCGCGACGGCCAGATGGATCGCCAGATCTGATCTCCCGCATGGCGCCCTCCGCTGCCCCTTGCCATCCCTGGAACGAACCCCTGCCGGTGGAGCAGCACGTTTCCCAGGCCCGCCAGTGGGAAAAAACGACAAGCCAAACTGGCGGTCCGTGGTGGGCGTGGACGAACCGCCATTTCGTCGCCGTGTCGGGTTCCCACTCGTTCGCGCGCCTCCCGTGCATGAACCGCCTTAACACTTGGATACGCGGCACAACAGACCGCGAGATCGGCTCAAGCCCACGAGTATTCCTACACTGCCAACTTCAATTGGCGCCATGGCAGCTTAGCTCCGCACTGCGAGCACTTTACCTTCCAAAACAACCCGGTACACCTCTGTATCCACGTTGTGCGAGCCTTATCCCTAGTACTAGGAACTTGGGAAGAGGTACGTGCCAGCATTTCCATCTCCAACTTTACCTGGGGAAAGCCCCGACATTTCAGCCCGCAGCACGAGCCCCAGTGGGCTCAGTCAGACACCCGGCCGATACGACGTCCGCGACGAGTGCCGCATGCCTGCCTTCTCGGGTGACCGCAACGTTCGGTGCCGACTCCGCTGGGACCCCCAGCTGCTCTCGGCATGGAACGCTACCCTTTTTGCCGCCCGTCTCTCGATGCCTGGGCCCCCAGGCGGCGACTCGATCGCTGCGTTGGCCCGGTCCCCTCGTGGTCTCAGAAGTCAAATTGCAACTGCCGATTCCATAAATAAAGCAAACCGTGGGGGGGTCCAAGGGGTGTGTGCCCTCGACACCCGGGGCCCCGTCGGCCAAAAAGCAAACATGACGTGAACTGACTAGGAAGGAATGACGAGGGCGGCACGCTTCCCGCTGGCCCGGCTGCTGGTCCCCGCGACAATGCTGTTTCGCCTGCGCCCCTGGCATGTCGCGCTCCGTCGCATCTCGCCGCCCGCAACTTTTCCAGGGTCCCATCGTCCCATGGCGAGGCGGGAGTGCCTCTCACTCCGTTCGCAAGGGCTTTTCCATCATCCCACGCGGTTACGGGAGCCACATTCCAGCGTCCCTCTTGAAACGCCGAAGAGGAACGAGCCCATCCTTCTTGTCGTGCACATGGATAGTCCAGATCGGCTGCAAACCACGCGGCCCTTCATATTGGTCTTGCTCTGCGCTGATACGCAGCTCAATGCTGAAAAAGGGCATGCCCGAAGTTACGGACCTTGATTCAGAGACCCTGCTGAATCATTTGACTCGCGCGGCAAGGCTGGCTTTGGCGTACGACACATACTTGACCATCTCGAACAGTGGCCTTAGCGGGCGCAATCTCCAGTCCCCTCCCACTGCCCTGTATCATGCACACACGCGGTTCGGCCGGATTTGTTCTAGAACATGTCTTCTGCGCTGGTTGTACTTCGTAAATCTGTGCCCTCGTACCGGGCTCTTCTTGATAGTCTCGTAGATTCCCTGCACCTCGGGCCCTGACACCTTCAATGCTACACGGCCTGTCTCTCCCCTATGTCTGATTCAGGGCGTTGGTTTTCCAAAAAGAAGGACGCGGCGATCCGTTGTTCCAGCCACAGCGGGCTCTCCATCGGGTCCCTGGCTCGTCGCCCGTTGTCACTGGGATAAGCACGGGGTCGTTGCGTTCTGCCCAAGCCACATGGAGCAGCCCTGGAGGAGAAACGGTACATCGCGCCGCTACTTCGTACCTCGTGGATTGTATTCGGAACCCCGGTAGCTTGGATCCAACTACCTCCCTGACCGTACAATGTTCGATGCGTGCTTTGTAGGGATAGGTGACATAATGCCTTTGCGAGCCGTGAATTATGGTCCTCCGGACTTGGGCAGGTCAATGATGGGGGCCTTTAAGGCAAACACCGGGATTTCAAGCGCCTGCCGACATCTCATGGGGGGATCCCGTTCAGGCAGCCGATGCTGCCCTTCTCGGCAGTCATGTACACGTAAACATAATGCTCTAATAGTCGGCCGTGTTGCATGACCAGAGTCGTCAGGAGGTAGATGGCGTCGGCACGCGGTGGTTTATCGGAAGCACTTTTGGCTGGTTTTACGATTCCCGTTGGCGGGCTCATCTTGTTTTGGACTGTAGCTCCTGCGTTCACCGCCGTCGTCGGACTCCCTTTGCTCACGACGACGGCGCTGGGCGGCCGACGTCCCCGTCCAGCCAGTCGCTCTTGCGCTTGCGAGAGCCGTTCTCACGATCCGCGTCCTCAACCTCGACGTCGACGTCTACGTCGACGTCTCGGCCGTTGCTGTTCCCGTTCCCATTGCCGTTGGGCCCGTCCTGCCCCTCGTCCTGCCCGCAGCCGCCGCGGAACCGCCCCAGCAGCCTCGGGAGCCCGTGGATGCCGAGGCCCGCGAAGCCCCTGCCCGCGGCCTCGCGCTCGCCGACGGCGATGACGGCCCCGATGAGGTCGTGCGTCATGGCCTCGTCGACGACGCTGTCGTGCTTGTACCGCGGGTGGGCGTCGACAAAGTTGCGGATCCAGCGGGCGGCGGTGTCGAGCTCGCCGCTCGCGCGCTTGCTGATGAGGCTCAGGTACGTGGCGAGCTGGCAGCGCGTCTCGACGTCGACGTTGACGCTGTCGAGGTAGCTCTCGACGATGGGGATGAGGCCCGGGAAGTCGCCCGCGGGCGAGCCGTTGACGATCTCGTCAATCGTCATCTCCTCGTACTCCTCGTCGACGGGCAGGCCGGGCGAGCCGGGCCGGCTGGGCATGGCGGAGCCGGGGCGCGACTCGTCGCCGAAGACGGTGTTGGCGCGCGACGGGCGCAGGGGGAAGGGGTTCTTCCGGAAGTAAAACTTTTCCTTGAGTACCGCGTCGACGGCGTGGGCGCGCTCCATGTTCTCGTCGACCTTTTTGATGGGGATGTAGAAGTTGAGGTCGAACGACAGGATGGCCCGCGTGACGAGCACCATGAAGACGGAGAAGGCGGCGTTCTCAAAGTCGGTGACCTGAATCTCCATTGGCCGGAACTCGACTCTCCAGCCGATGTTGTTCTCTGCAGGCGGGGGCTTGAATCGCATGTGCTGCCAGTTTGTCGACTGGATGTTCTCGAAGTGATCCGTCTTGTTCAGGTCCAGCTCCTGGAGGTCCTCCTCAAAGATGACGATGGGGTCTCTGATGAACAGATGGGCAAAGTGTGTGGCGAGCAGATCATCCATGCCGCCCTCGACGAGCTTGGCCTTGATCTCCGGGTCGATGACCAGGTCCGGATCCATGTACTCGGGCCGGAGGCGGGGATCGGTGGAGATGTAGGTCGAGTTGGACGCATAGCGAGACTTGGGGATCCTCCATCGGTCATTCTTCAGGGGCTGGTCAAGGGGTTAGCAAGGCGACTTGAAGACGGCGACGAGACGCACCTTTTCGCCCAGCTCCTCGGGGGTTCTGCAGTCGACCGCTCGGCTGATCTGGTTCCACCGCACGTCGGTGTTGGCCAGGAAGCCCTTGTAGATGGGTGTCGCCGCAGTCAGGGCCAACATGATGGGGCCCAGAGGGCTCAACTGATCGTACAGCTGTCGCCCCTCGGTGATGTTCTTGGCCTGGAACGTGATCTGGAGACAACAGCTGCCCATGCCAAAGGCCATGGCATCCATGTGGATGAAGTCGTCTGGAGCGGCGCCGTTGCGCTCGTCATCATCCTCGGGCCAGTTGTGCAGGTCGCGGTTGACCGTGGGGTCTACCCATGGCTTCGGCGTGTTCGCGTCATGGAAGACGGGAACATTGACCTGGACCTTTCGGCCCCGGCGCCATCGGATGTTTGCGGCCAAGGTGGGAAAACGGATATGGGGGTTGGCGATCTCGTCGGGGACAAACTGGGAACGCAGCTTGGGTCCCGAGGGCGGATAGTAGGGAAACGTGAACTGGCCAGGGCTTCCGATGCGTGGGAAGGTCGTCAGTGTGATTGGGTACTCGCTGGATAGCATGTGCTCCTTGGCGATCTTGCGCCGGAGCTTCATGTCGGGCTCAACATCGAGCAGCTCCCGGAAGCCGATACCCCACGGTTTCCCGGGGGTGGCCTCGAGCATGAACCTTCCAAACTCGGGGTGAAAGACTGGCAGGGAACCTGTCCTGTTGATGATGCCGTTAGCGTCTGTGAGCCATCCTGGTCAGCATCTTTGAGGTAGAACGAACTTGGGCTTGGCCGCGGGCTCATCCTGCAGGGCGGGCACGCAGCAGCCCTCCTTGGCCAGCTCGGTGTCGGCGGCAAGGGCTTTGAGGATCTCGGCCTGGCGCAGAGATAAGAGAACCTTCTGTTCATCCTTGGTATAGGTGACAACCAGGTACTCGACCTGCAGAAAGTCAGCTCACGGGACAGGGTGCAATGGCGTGCGAGGAGGGTTGTGTGACCTCATCACCCCAGAGCATGGCATCCCGCTCCTTGCCCTTTGCCTTGTTCCAAATCTCAAGCAGTTGCTGTTCGCGCGTCAGTCAGTGAGGATGATCAAGGAGCACGTGTGTGAGCGGGCATTGAGATGGACATGTCTCCGTACCTTGATACCCCATTCCCTCACTTGGTGGGCGTGCTTCTTCGCCTCGGGCCATTCGAGCGCGGTTCCCAGCGCACTGCGGTCATTGTGTCAGGCGCCGAGATCCAAGCCGTGAGACGCAGGTCCAATCGGAGACTTACAGGAGACCCATGATGGGCGACGTCTAGCCTGCTATCAGCGGCTGCGGATGGGCGACGACGAGTCCGGGTTGGACGCGCGATGCGACCGGGCCGGCGCGATCAGCCGGAGGGGAGGCGAGGCGAGGCCTAGGCAGGTGTGAGTGCCCAGCCCGAAGCCAGCGCGCGGCGATACGGGACAGCAGCGACTATGTTGAGTGGTGGCAAGGCAAAGGAGAGGAGGAGCGCGGGCGACGTCGGGAGTGAGCGCGGCTTCACGTGGAGGGGGAAAGGCAGAGGAACCAATGCCCCGCAACTCCGACAGGCCGATACTCGGTATGTTTTTTGGCAGACGGGGAGGGAGGGCTCGGACGTCAAGCTCCCATGGCCCCCAATGAACGCGATTGACTTTTGGGGAGCGGCGAAACGAGGGCTTGCAGCCACCAGCAGACGATGGCGTTCTTGGACAGGACAGGACAGGACGGGATGGGACGCGATGCGATCTCCAGATTCAGAAAAGGTGGATAGGCAGGCGGCCGCGAGTACTGACTTGGCGGGCAGGCAGGGAAAGAAAAAAAGTTGGACAGCCGGCTCTTACAAATGTCGTGCGCCAATTCTGGACTACGGCCCGTTGACGGCGGCCGGGAGGAGCTTGGTGGTGGAGCTCGGGCTCCCAGCGCGGGCGGCGGCGGCGGCAGCGGCAGCAGCAGCACCACCAGCAGCAGCAGCACGCGGCAAGTAGCGCATCGGGTCGTCGTCGGTCGTTTCTGCGGCGTCGTCGTCGTTTGCCGCTGTCGCTGTCGCGGGGGCTTTCTGCGCGCGCTGTGGAGTGGCCTGAGCTGCTTAGAAATCCGGCTCGCTCCAGTGACATGCAGTCCCGCCGACAGCCTGCGGGACCTATCAAGTACCTGCCCACGATATTATTGCCTGCTAGGCCGGGTTCTCTTTTCCTGCTAGACAGGTTGGTACAGTACCGTAGGCTTGCCTGATGGCTGGACGCGCCGGCACGAATCCGGGACGAGGCATTGACATTCGACTAGGCTTTCTCAACGCCTGCCCGATGATCCGCATCCCGGCACAATCAGGTGCCTGGCCTGGACCGGGCCTGGGCATAAGTGGGCGATGCAAGCGCACGCACGCACACTCTCACACTCACTCACATACGAGGTACGAGAGCTCCCAGACACACACGCACACACACACTCTCTCACAGGCCGGGCCATCGGTGGTGTTGGATTTTCGCGCCGTAACAATGGCGAGGCTCCATTGGCGGAAGCATCCCCTCCAAGGATGTCGAGCGTAAAGTGCGCGCCCTGCGAGCGAGTCGCATGTCCAGCCAGACACAACTCGATCAAGTAATAATAGGCTATCTCGGTCGCGAAACCCGGCCCCAGGGAAGGAAGCAGGAGCCATCGGTCATCAACCCCGCATGATTCCATCACCTGGCGAAACTGCGGTCTCACTTTCTGCTCGTTGGGGCGTCAGTACTCGTTGTCGACTGCGTTGCCCGCTGCTGCAACCTGCCTGCGCGTCGCTGTCGAGGAACACACAACCACCGCACAAACGTGAGCATCCAGCGCCATTGTGTCGGCTGCTCGTTTACGACCCCCAATGCATCATCGGGCAGGGTCTGGAAGCAAATGGTCGCAGGGCTTGGCTTCCGACTCACTTCGCAGTTCGCACAGTACTGTACTCACGTTCTGTGCTCGAGAAGGCGGGCGCCCGCCTTGTCCTGGTCGGGCTGTTGCACTGCTGCACTGCTGCATCCATCTTTTTTCTGAAACAGAGACGGCAGAGGCTGTCGGGTGGACCCAGCGTGACCTCATGTCTTCCAGGTTTGTCGCCAGCGATGACCCAGCATCTGTGGCTGCACCAAGCACTGGACCAGCAAAGCCATGGACTCGGGATGGAGCCTGGAAGGCACCACCCCCACTGTCAGGTGCCCTACCATTTCCATCCTCACCAGCCCGGAGAGCCAGTCCCAGTGGTCCCCTGCGGGGGACCCATCCGACGCCTAAATGACCTTACATAATGCGCTAGCGGGCACCCCGACTCCCCCAAGCACAGCCCATCCCAGCCCACCAAAAAGCCACCCGGCCTGCACCAGCCAGAGCCCAGACAGAGCTCCAGCCGAGACCCCGCCGCTGCGTCCATCGTCACTGGCTCACTGCTGCCACCACCAGCACTGCTTTGAAGTCGCAGGTCACCACCACCACCACTGCCACCACGTTCGATCCCCGGCTCCCCTCTCGGCACTTCGATAGCCATTCCCTCTTCCTCCAACCTACGTACACACGAGAAGACTTTCCCGCCTGCCGTGACCGGAGCAAAGAGACCCTCCTCTCCAAGAATCGTGCTCTCAGCCGTCCCCCGTCCGTCGACGCGAGCAAGCTATCCCCGCATCTCCAATTCTGCCCAATCGACCCGCGCCGTGGCCGCCTCCAGGACCTCCCCTCGAACGTCATCCAGCGACGTCTTATCTTGGCCGGGCGAGCGATCCCGTCACGATGAACCCTCATCAAAAGAACAAGGTCGACGTCAAGGTGAGTGAGCTCGTCTTCCCTTACCCTCATTCCACGTCTCGCCGTTGGGATTGTCGTCATCGGCTAGACGCCATCGAGCCACAATCCAGTTTGCTTTCTAGATTGTCCCAGCCGCCTCCTCATGGCAGCAACTTTTGTTTTGGCCATCGAATCCAGGCTTCTGCGCTCGTTCACTCGCTGAGAGAGCACCCGCGCTGACCGTGCCGTCTTCCCAGTCGCTCTCCCCTGAGGAGCAGCGCCTCTTCCGCCTCTACGGCAAGCTCCCGTCCCGCTCCGACCACTTCGCCAAGCACCTCAAGGACCGCAAATACTTCGACTCGGGCGACTATGCCATGTCCAAGGCCGGCAAGGGCGATGGCGTCGACGCCGGCGCTGTGGGCTCGCAGCACCCCGTCCCCGAGAACATCCCGCACCTGTCCTCCCCCATCAACGGCTCCGGCGGCGGAAGCGTCCCGAAGCACCACGGCTCCATCGCCGGCGTCCAGGCCGGCAGCCCGGTGAAGGAGAGCAGCTTCCTCCACCGCGAGACGAGCGCCGAAGGAATTACATCCAACCCCACGGACGCGAAGAAGACTGCCGGCGCCGCAGAGCCGGTCGCTGCCGGAGAGGGCATTCCCATCCGGAGATAGGAATACTGAGGTGTTTTGCTTGGGAGCGGAACTGCGCGGGTCCCGACATGGACAAGCCGGTATTTGTGCGCAGTGCTGCGGACGAAGGAATGGCTGCACGCGCTCGAGCCCGAGGGAACGACCATGTCTGTTTTTCACGTCACGAATGAATCGCAAAGTTGGCGTTGGGTGGACACAAAGGGGGAGCAATAAAATGGCTGCGCGCAGTCCCCCCGCGAGAGGAGGCAAACGGGCTTGTTCTCCTTTGTCCTTGTGTTTTTTTTCTCTCTGATTGTCATTGGTTTCAAGAGCTGGCCACGATGAGAGGCGACATATGATTGATGGGCGGTTTCTTTTTCGTCTTTGTCACGGAGCCGTGACTGCTGTCTAGGGCACGTTATTGAGGCTGTGAAAACGGGCGACCGATGCTGCTCTACTGGGGTCTGGTGCGTGCGTAATTGGCCGTTGACGTGTTGCTGTGCTGATGCTTCTGCGATGCTGGGCTCCGTCGTGGGATCTGCTGGCGCATCTCCACAAAGACCAGCCTGGGTCTTGTGTCCGGGATGGCGGAATCCCGTGTTGGGTGGCCTCTTATTAGTTTGTCAAGGTTACTACGACTACGATTCTTTGTTTTCGTTCAGAGGCCGGTTTCCCAATTTTTTACTTGTATTCATTATCATAGTTTTTTGGGTTTGCTCTCTGCAAGAAAAACGTTATGCGTCCAGAGCCTTGAGCGCCATCTCCTTGACTCCCTCCCACGTCTTGTTGCCACCGATGAAGCCGGCGGCGTGGACAAAGACGCAGCCGGGGACGCCGGCGATGGCGTCGAGCTCCTCGTCGCGGAAGCCGCGCCAGGCCTCGGGCAGGGGCTTGCGGCTGACGAAGGAGTCCTTGGACTCGGGGACGCACTGGATGCGCCACTTGGCGCCGGGCTCGGGCTTCTCCTGGTAGAGGACGTAGAGGACGGGGTTGGGGACGCCGGCGGCCTCGAGGGCGTAGAGGTGGTCCTTCCAGGGGACCGACTGGCCCTCGAGGACGAGGACGCGGCCCTCGGGGTCGAACTCGCGGCGGCGCTCGAAGGCGCGCTGGACGACGGTGCGGGCGGGCAGCCAGGCGGCGGCGTGGTAGTCGAGGTCGCGGTCGAACTCGTCGCCGATGCGGGCGCTGGCCTCGAGGAAGCGCTCGTCCTCGGCCTGCTGGGCGGCAGCCGGGTCCGACGGCCGGGGGTCGTTCCAGTTGGGGTTGAGGCGGCCGACGAGGGCGCCGAGCGTGAAGCCGCCCTCGCTGAAGCGCTTCTCGAGTCCCGCGGCGGCGACGGCGGCGGGGTCGTAGACGGAGATGCCGTTGTCGTGGGCGTCGAGCGCCTCGATGAAGCCCTCGTACAGCTTGCGGTGGAGGAGCTCGACCTCGGGGCTGTCCTCTGCGACTGGCGCAGCGGGCTTGTCTTCGCCACCCTCTTGCGTCTGCTTCTGCTTCTGCGCGCTCAGCCGCTGCGCGATGATGGCGCGGCCAAAGTGCAGGAAGACGAGCCCCGCGCTCGAGAGCTTGGTGTCGCGGCCGGGAAACGTGGTGGTGAAGCCGCGCTGGTGATGGTCGTAGCGGTTGCGGGCGGCGTCGTACTCGCCGCCGACGTCGACGACGGTGTGGCACGTCTCGAGGACCTTGGGGTCGCGGGTGCGCACGAGGCGCGCGTCGGCGTAGGCGGGCAGCTGGCGGAGCATGTGCACGGCGAGGGCCTCGTCGGCGTGGAAGTGGCCGTTGTGCGTGCCGATGAGAGGGCCGGTGCCCGCTGCGCCGGCGGCGGCGGCGGTCTTGAGGCGTTTGGGAGCGGATTCGGCCATGGTCGTGAGAAGGCGACGGAACATAGACCTCCTTTTTTCTTTTTCTCTCTTGTAGAGTGGGTGGGGGGGGGGGGGCTCCGAGGGGAAGAGGGATGGATGGAGGGTTGGTTATTTATCGGAGAGGAGCGTAGTGGATAATAAGTGAAGCTTCTTTTGGGCAGTTTTTTGTTTACCGTCCGTGGTGGGGCTGCTGTTTGGCGGGGGCACAAGCTCCCCGTCTGGCGGTGACCCCCAATCAATGGCGCCGTATTTCTACACTCACTGGCTACCTTAGACGCACCTCAATTGACGGGCTGCGCTAGCCATCCTATCCGTGCAACCTGTGCAAGTGAATGCCTCGCAAGTTACTGGACATCAATTGCACTTTTCGCGAGAGCACGTAGGTTACGTGCCTTATTTGCGATAGCTGTACTATATACACGCACGAGCGATCACTGGACGTTTGAACTGATTGAACGCTGTCATTCATTCGTTGGTTTTGAAACCGTTCGCCTTCACTTACACCGACGCGGCGCACGGTTCACGAACATGATGACTATCTGAAGCCCCCCAAACGCCGATCCCAAGTAACTCAGGAACGTCCATAGTAGACGCCCCTCAAGCTCCCGCCGCCACTATTCACTCATAAAGCAAACGCAGGGCCCCCCTCCCCCCTTGGTGATACTCTTACAGTCTCCAACCCTCTGTCTGATACTCCAAAAGAGGTAGGACACGAACGGATGAACTGGGGGGTTTACTTGGACGCGTTGGCCCCCTTCTTGGCCGCCTCGTCCACGCCGCGCCCAATGCCGCTCATGTCCATGTCCGCGCCCTTCGTCGCCGGTCCCCGCAGCCCGGCCTGCGAGCCCGCCTCGGTGCCCAGCTTGCGCTCCGCGTCGCCGCCCGCGCCGACGTTGACGGTCCGCGCGTCGGCGGATTGCCAGTCGGAGGCCTGGGGGGGCTGCTCGGGGAGAGGCAGGTTGGCCTGCGTGTTGGAGATTTGGTCGGCCTTGGATTGGGGCATTGTGAAGGATTGATGTGTGTGTGGTGTGTGAGTTGGTCTGTGTCTCCTGCGGGTGGTTGGTTAGCGTGAGCTGCGTAGGCTAGGGGCGGCGGCGTCGTCGTAGGGCCCAAATCGGACATCAACGTACCTTGTTTGAAAGAAGTGGTTCAACTCCTGGAGTATTGAGTGGGTGGTTCGTGTATTGAACTGATGAGAATAAATTTTTTAATTTTCGACAGAGGCACGAGGCACCCCTTTTATCTCTTCGCACTCATGCCCATCTCACCCCCCGAAGCGACCAGAAAAAAGCCGTTACGTGCCGTGACGTCAAAACTGAATGACGTTTGACCTGTTGCCCGCCCCGGGGCGGACCAAAACCTCCCCTCGGGCCCCCAAAACCCCCACAATTCTTTCGTCAGGGTCTCCATCGCGCCGGCAGCCAGCAGCAGCCTCATCGCGATGGAGGCGCCCCCCAGGAACCACATCTCGACCCAAGTAAGTGTTGTGCCTGGGGGACCGTCTCGCACGACTCAGGGAGATCGCGTGCTCATGTTACCCGCATCTTGGCGCCACTCACAGAAGCACCATGTAGACAGACATGACGGTCGAGACACATTCGTCGTTCCAATTCAGCACGTCTACGCGGACCACTATAGGTAGAGAGACCCTGCCCAAAAAACCCAAACGCCGTATCTCCGTTGTACCTCGTCTTGGCCCTTGACACGGCCAGTGCCTGCCTATACGCATCATGTCGAACCACCACCACCACCACCACCCTTTTCAGCCAACTCTCCTGTCCGTCTCCGCCGACGTCGGCAGATCTTTGCCCTCGGGGTTCAGGTAGTCTGCGTTCTCGGCCGCCTCGTACTCCCCAATCAGGTCCGCCACCACCTGCCGGGCCTCGTCAAACTCGTGCAGGTTCTCCGAGAACGGCGCCGTCTTCTTGTACCCCTCGATAAAGGCGTTGTGCTTGCGCATGCTGTCGTACTGCCGGACGATGCGCTTGAACAGCTGTGACGCACCTTTGTTAGCCCCCCGCCCCGTACTCGTCGAGTAGAAATGGGACAATGAAAGTACTTACCGTGGCGATGCTCGTGTGGTTGGCCAACATCAGGCCGCTCACGCGGTGGCTCATGGGAATGTACGGGCTGCGCTTCGTCAGGGCCACCTGGATGCTCGCCGGTCCCCAAGGGATGAACGTGGCCAGCTGCCGCCGCTCGCGGATGCGCAGCAGGCTCTTGTGCACGTCCGTCGGGTCCACCTCGCCCTGGATCACGTTGAGGATGGAGATGTAGCAGCTCTTCTTGCCCGGCACCGTCGACACCATGCGGTTCTTGGGCTGCAGCAGTCGCCGCATCACGTCCAGCACCGTCGTCTTGCGCACCGTCTTGGCCTGCTCCACCTGGTCTCCCGTGAACGGCGTGTACGCCGTCATGAGGAAGTGGCATCGGGGTGTCGGGATCAGCGACGCGAGGATGCTTACGAGGTCGTTGTGCATGTAGCCCGGGTATCGTAGCGTCGTCGTGCTCGCCGACATGACCGTCGCGACCTGCCCGACCGCCGTTAGCTTGCAATGCCGCGTGGCGTAGACCGAAAAGTAGAACATACCAGCTGGTTCGTCTGCTGGAACGATGGTTCCTGCACGTGTAGCCTATCCGCCGCAATGTGTGACAGGGCCCCGTTGTCCAGCACCACCACTGAGTCCGCGTTCTGCGTTAGCCTCCGCATGGACAGGATGCTGTTGTACGGGTGCACAACCACGTCGCCCGCGTTGGTCGTGTCCGGAAACACCGAGTACGTCTGTATAATCTTCTTGGGGAACCGGTCGTTGAGCCGCTCGAGCAGGAAAGACCCCAACCCTGAGCCCGTGCCGCCCGCGATCGAGTGTAGCATCATGAATCCCTGTAGGCCATCAGCAACGCGTTCCAAGTGCCTGGCGGGCCGTTCGTCCGCGCAGACGCACCTCTAGAGAATCACTGCCGTCTGCCTCGCGCTCAATCATCTCCATTATGTCCTCGTATACCGCCTCGCCGCTCTGGTAGCCGTCGCCCCAGTTGTTGGCCGCGCCCATGCCATCTTTGCCGACGTAAAAGTTTTCGGGGTTGTAGATGTTTCGGTAGGCGCCCGTCTGAATGCCGTTGATGACCTGCACTCTTGCCGTCAGCGTTTTGAGACCTCGACCCCCCCTCGCGTGCCAATCGCCAAACTCACCCGCGGTTCCAGGTCGATCAGAATGGCGCGAGGGATGTACCGCGTGTCGTCGCTCTGGTAGTAGAACACGTCCTTTCGGTCGCCGCCTTCGGTCGCAAAGTCCTCGAGGGTGCCATCCTGGCTGATTCCGTGCTCCTGGCAGAGCTGCTGCCAGAACTGGCTTCCGACTAGGGACGTCAAAGGTCAGTAAAATGCCACGCTCGAGGTCTGATCTCGCGGCCGGCCGCTCGTCGCTGTTCGCATCGCTCTGACGAGCCTCAAGGCGCGAGGCTGCGAGGCGGTCAAGCGGACGGTAGAGAGGGGAGGGGAGGGGAGACTTCGCTACTCACTGCTGTTGCCGCACTGCCCAGCCTGGATCGTAATGATTTCCCTGCACGACAACAGTCAGCTCGGTTTGGAAAAAAGACCAACGGAGAAGCGCACCGTGGCATCGTGGTGGTCGAATGTCTGCAGGGTCAAGCTGCCGTTGAAGCAGGCTCAGTCCAGCAAACGGCGCCGTTCAGTGGAACAGTGATGCACAGTCGAGGTGCCGACGCGCGACGCGCTTCGGCGCCCCAAGTGGTTGCACGGCTAGTGGTTGCACAGGCACACCCCGCCCCCACGTCCCCTTGCCTTTCCGGGCCTACCTATTCAGTCCACCACCACAAAATCAAAGTAAACAGTGACGGCGATAAACTACGAGGCGCGCCCGCGCAAGTCCCGTCAATGAAGTCACTCGAGAAGCCGAATGGAAACCCCAGCGTTCTGCTCCCGTGTCTTCAGCGGTAAACATTAAGTAGGCCACTCCCACCACTCGAGGATTCGCTCCTCCGCCATCCGCTTGCCTAATCGGGGTCTTGCAACTTCTACCACAACCAACATCCCTCATGCAAAACGCCAAACTAGAGTAGCAACTGCGCCGTGTCGACGGCCCACGCCGAAATCCTCTTTTCTTGGTTCCGTAAACACTGCCTACAATGCTCCTCGTGAAACGCCTGTGATGCTCCTAGTTGCGATCTTATCCCTTGCGTCCGTCCCGTTCCGTCCATCCATGCCCAAACCCTCATTCCCTGCAAGCAATCATCACTTCTTGTTCGCCTCCTTGTTCTTCTCCAAGACCTCGCCAAGCTCCTTGGCCGAGTCCTTGGTCTTGACCTGGATCATCCACGTCTCGAGACCGTCTCCCTTCTCGTTGGATGTCGTGATCTTGACGTACTTTTCCTCCGACTTGTACGACATGTTGGGGAGCAATGCTCGGTTCAGCGCGACATGGCCGCGAGGCTCGGCACGGAGAAGGAGGCGCACCACGCCCGACTCCTTGTGCTTCAGCAGTCGCAGAGGGCCGACTCCCTGGGTCGACCAAGGGCTCTTGGACTTGGCCTTGTCGTCGCTGTCCGACTTGTCGCCCGGCGGCACAAACTTGAGTACCTTGGCCCGCACCTCGTGCAGCATCTCCTCATCGTCATCCACGCTGTCCGTCAGATTGATCTGCTCGTGCTTTTCGCCTTCCTCATTGTCGCCCCCATTGGCTCCGTCGGCCTGGTTCGTTGGTTCCGGGGTGCCCGCGGCGGGTGTAGTTGCCAAACTCGAGCCGCCTCCAAGGTTTAGGGGAGAGTCTACACCCGTCGCTTTAGCGGGGCAATTTTCCGGTTCGGAAACGGTGACTTACTGGTCCCGGTGGTGGACGATCCGCCCGCAGGTGGCTGAAGACCGCTGAAGACAGGAGCTGCTGGCTTGGAGCCGAACATGGAGCCAGTTCCTTGCGACGGCTGCGACGGCGCACCAGAGAAGCTGAAGGCCGGAGCACCACCAGAGGACGAGGCCCCTCCAAACGCTGGAGTCGAGCTACTGCCAGGCTGGCTTGCGCCAAACAGGGAGCCACCGGAAGCAGCCGGCGTCGCGCCGCTGGGCGCAGCGCCTCCAAACTGGAACGGCGTAGAGGAACCGCTGGCCGGCCCCGAGGAGGGCCCCGCGAAGGTGAAAGATCCACCCGCAGGCGTTCCAGTCCCAGAGTTGGAGTTGCCGGCAAAGGGGTTGTTGAAGGATGACCCAGCCGAGCTGCCTCCGCCGAAAGCAAAGTTGAAACTGCCGGAACCTCCGTTGGGTGCAGACCCGGCTCCTCCGAACAGGTTTCCAGAGCCACTTGCATCGTTCGCGGCGGGAGTAGACGTCGCGCCGAAAGCGTTGGTGCTCGGGGCAGTGGAGGTCGGTTGAGAAGCCCCAAAGCTGAATAGAGGCGTCGACGCACCAGTGTTGCTGCCGCCCATGAATGACTTCTTGGCAGGCGACGGCTCATCCTGCTTCATCGGACTACCGTCGAACATGCCGTTGCCACTGGTGGCAGCAGGAGGAGATTTGGTTCCGCCGAAGAGAGGCTTCTGAGCCGTGTCCGAGGCACCAGCGGCAGGCTTCGCCGCCGAGCTACCAAAGGTGAAGGTAGGTTGCGCGGCAGCTGCGGGCGCTGCTGGCGTACTGTCAGTCTTTGCCGGGGCCATCGAGCTACCGCCAAACGTGGCGGAGGCACCGCCGAAGAGAGCAGCCGACGGAGTCGAGGCGCCACTGCCAGGTGCACTGCCCGGGGACGTCGCAGGCTTGCCTCCAAACAAGGAGCCAGCCGCGCCAGTACCACCGAACGGGTTGGTGCTCTGGCTTCCAAACAAAGGTGTCGACTTTGGCGCCTCAGCAGCCTCGGCGGGCTTCTCCGACTCCCCCGGCTTTGCTCCAAACAACGTGGTCGGCTGTGTGGCGGGTGCCGCTGCGGTCGCCTCAGTTGGCTTATTCAACGTACCAAAAAGGTTGCCAGTGGCAGGAGCCTGAGCTTGGCCGTCGGCCTTGGGTGTGCCGCCGAACAGGCTGGGCGCTTGCTTAGGTGCGTCTGCTTGCTTGTGGGCTTCGGGCGCGGCCGGTTTCTGCTGGAACAGGGACGGCGCGAAAGTCTGCTGTGCCGCAGGTGTCGGAACTTTGCCTTCGAACATTCCCTTCTTCGCCGGCTGCGTCTCGTTCTCCTTGTCAGATTCGCCGCCATCCTTGCCCCCCTCGTCTGCACTTGTTCCTACCGAAGATTCTTTCGCTGAGGGCGTGTCCTGTTTGGCGGAACCAAACATATTGGACGCAGGGCCCTTGGAAGCAAACATGTTGCTTGCGGGTGCCGAAGTGCCACCAAACAGTGAACTTTTCTGGGTAGACGGCGCGAACTTGATGGGCGTCGTACTCGGGTTCCAGGTCTGATCGACGGGTGCCACTGGGGCTTCTGCCTTTTCCTCAGCTCGAAGGGGATTGCCATCGCTGTCCTTGGAGACGCGCTCGAACAGGCTGCGGCCAGGTGTGCTCTCCCGAGTGCCAGCGTCACTGGAAGCACCCATGACGAAGCCACTGGTCGGCGCCGGCTTCTTTCCAAACAAGTTGGATCCTGTCTGAGAGCCAGTCTCACCGGTACCGCTGGCAGCGACGCTCGGCTCGTCGCTCTGGCCGGCCTCAGGGCTCTCTCCCTCGTCGGAGCCCGTCTCGCTCTCGCTCTCGGCATCAGCCTCGACACCGCTGTTTTTGGCGGAGCTCGCATCCGACAGGTAGCCAAAGATGTTGCCGCCAGACGCTGCGGCCTGTGTGGATGGCTTCGAGTTCGTGAAAACGGATCGAGCGAGGTTGTTGGTGCCAGATTTGCTGGCGGTGAAGGAGGTCGGCTTGGCGCTGGCCACGCCATCAGGTGCCTGAGCCGGCGTGGCAGGCTTGTTCGCAATCTTCTCAAACAGAGTCTTTGCCGAGGACGGTGTGGCCTTTTGCATCTTGGCGGGTTGCTCTTCACTTACAGACGCTTTTCGCTTGTTCTTGCTGGGAGCAGGAGTAGCAACCACAGGCTCTTCATCGTCCTCCTGGGCCATGGCTCTGCGTTTGCCCTTGGCGGTGGCATTCTCCGCCGTGGCAGACTGCTTGGAGAGTTGATCATCGGCCTTGCGCTTCTTTGAGGAGAGCTTCGAGGGCGTAGGCTCGACCACCTCGTCCTCGGGCTCGGGAAGGCCATGCTCTCGACGCCATCTCTTGAGAACCTCTTTGGACGGCTTGACGTTCTGGAATTCGTACAGACCGTATCGCAGGAGGATGATGCTACGGCTCTTCTCGAACTCTTTGGCGAAGTTCATGACGTTGAGCTTCCAATCTTTCTTGGAGAAAATCTCGTTTGCTGCGTATTTGAGACGTCGAAGGTCGAGAATGCAGAAGAACTGGCGGCGCTGCTCCTCGTCGAGATTGGGAGGGCAGAGATGCGCGAGAAATTGATCCGCATAGATGGAGCCCTTAGCGTTCCAGTCTTTGGGAATTTTCTGCGTGAGGGCCTCGCCCGTGAGCTCGGATGGGGGCGACGAGATGCGCATTTGGAAAAGTTCTTTGTCCGTCGCCCGTGCGGCCATACCACGCGGGGTCGCCTGGACGGTGGACTCTCGGTAAACGCGCGACGGCTCGGGGGTCGCGCCAGGCGCAAAAACCTTCTTCATCGTGCTCTGCGGCAGCTTCGGGGAGAAGAGGGTTGCGGGGGGGCTATCCGTGAACGTGGACGCCCTGAAGATGTTTCGCGCCGCCGCGATTGAGTTGCTGTTCAGACTGCTCGAGGGAACCTCGTCGCGCGTGGTCAACAGCTTTCTCGACGACGAGCTGTGAGGGGTGCCGTTGCGCTTGGCAGGGCTGCCGCTGTAGGGAGATGCGGTAAAGCTGCGCTTCGCAAAGGGCAGAGGGGGGCGAGACCGGGGCGTGCCGCTCGCCCCGTTGACGACATTATCGTCGACGGGAAGGGCGAAGGTGACCATCGCGTCAGGGGTATGGCGTGATTTAGGGGAAGAAGAAAGTATGGGAGAGGTTGACGCGTTCGCGTTCTCGAGGATGAAGAAGCGTTTGCAACGTGAGGGATGGACGTGGTAGGCGTGGCGATTCAGCTGCTCGCGCAAGCGCCTGTCGAAACGCGGAGCTTCGAACCGATCGTCGTCGAGTTTGGCCCTCGAATCTGCAGTGGCTGGCGTTAAACGCGCTGCCGGCCTGTCATCCGCACCCAGATCCGCGTCGTTTGATGAACGACACGACTGGTCGATGGGGAGACTGGACGGTGTTTTGGTGTAGGTGCAGCAACCTGGGCGTCGCTGGTGGCCGATGCTCGAAATCCCCGAGAGAAAAAAAAGCCACAGAAGGGGGCGCGCGATCGAACACGGCGGTTGGGTGCTAGGTGCTTGGCCCTTGTGTCGCGCACGGCTCACGCCTCAGGCAGCAACTTTGCCCAGGGCGGCAACAATCCTTACTAAGCGCGCTTCGCCCCGCGCGCGCGCAACAGGGCACGCACTCGCTCGCTCACTCGATGCATGCATGTCACCCGATCAGTCCGATGCACCAAAACCGGTTACACGGACGCACGCACGCGCTACGTACTTCACGTCGCACCCAGGCAAGTTCCAGTCGCTACAGCGTCGCTGCACACTCACTCAACAGTCATATCATGCGATGCAGTCTCAACATGGCCAAACGAGATCAATTTTGCATCCTAGGTAATCTGGTGACCAACATCGTAAAAGAATGTGTGTGGTTGTTGTTTCCCACCCAGCTCGACCTCTGCCCCGAGACGTTTCTTTGATCCACCAGCCCGGTCAGAGCACCATTAGAGTGGGAAAACTCGCTGCGCGGCAAACGAGAAAAAGTACACTTCAGCCTTCCAGGCGGAGAAAAACACAGACTTGCCGTGACCCTGTAAACCCAAGCGTACAAGCAAAAGTCGAAAAGCGAAACCCGTGACCTTTACTTCTTCAGAAGCTTCTTCTGCTGCTCCTCTAGGAACTCCTCGTCAGACGCGTCCAGGATATCGTACTCTTCGTCGGTCAAGAAACCCTCATCAGACGCTTCCCATTCTTCCTCGTCGAAGCCCTCCTCGACGTCAGCCTCGGCCTTTTCCTCTGTGGCCTCGGTCTCCGTCTCAGTCTGGGTCTCTTCGTGGAAGCTAGCGCTGGGAGACTCCTTCTCGAGCTTCGGGAAAATCATGGTGCTGCTGGACTTGGACGTGCCCTCGTCGTCTTCTTCCTGCTTCACCGCCGCAGGTGCCGCCTTGGGGGCGTCGGTCGAAGGCTCAGGCCGGACGTTGACCTCGCACCACAGGCGGTGGCCAAACTTGAAGCCATCCTGGGTCGTCAGGCGCCAGTAAGAGATGACCTTGCCGGCACGAGCGGGGGTGCGGAGGAGCACAGTGAAGGAGCACTCTTGGCCAGGGAGGAGGGGCGCATAGCAAACGGTCGACTCCGAGGCGGAAACGAGCTCCGTGATGCCCGCGGGGTGAGCCGAGTCGACGTGTCCCATGTAGTCGCCGCCGACAAACTTGACGGAGCATCCCGCAGGCCAAGCCACCTTGCCCTCATTGCGAAGGACCCAGGTCTGCTCAAAGACGTGGTTCGGGGGGAAGATGGTGCCGTCAGAGACGGAGTCGTGCACAAACACGGCGCGAAGATCCTCCTCACGTACCGGCTCTGCAGCCAATTCTGTCTTCTCCTCCTTGATCTGGGGTTCAGCCTTGACCTCCGGCTCAGCCTTAACCTCCGGCTCGGGCTTCGGCTCGGGCTCGGGCTTGACGTCCACAACGGTCTGGACGGTGTTGACGGAGATCTTAGCGGGACTGACAGTCTCGGTGGCCCGGGAGTTGGTGGTGCTGCGGTCGCCCATGACCGGCATGCGCTTGCCATCCTGGCGCTCACCGGTAGTCGTGACGCTCACGTTGCGAACGGCAGTCTTGAACTGGATCAGGGGGTGCGTCTTGTTGTGGGTGTTGGACGGGCTGGCTTCGCAATTGGCACAGAAGTCAAGGTCGTGACAGACGGCGCACTTGTAACGGGTGCCACGAATGTACGACGGATAAGCTTGGGTCATCGCGCAAAGAGGTCCATCACAGCAGATGCCCAGATGTACCGGCTGAACAACCGAGCATGCCTGGATGTCGGACAGTGGCTCGTAGATGGGAGCGAAGCGGTGGCCCGCGTGCACAAAGTGCGCGCTGCTGATGCAGTTTGCGCAATAGTCCCAGTCGGGGCAGTCGAGGCACTTGTGGCGAACACCGGTGATGTACTGGGGAGTGTTAGTGGGTAAATCAAGGGTGCGAAGCGTGTGCTCGGGCTGACTAACCTTGTCACAACCGTCGCAGATGGCGTGATGCATCTGGTTACGGCCCGGTGCCATCTTGACCGTGATGTGATCCGGCATCAGGGTGCCAGGCACGGCAGGGACAAAGCCATGCTTGGGGTGATGGCCATGGATGTCTCTGGCAAAGCATGGTTGGCAGAGGTCAAAGTCCTCGCAAGTAGTGCAGTGAACAAACTGGTTCTCGGGAAGTTCTAGAGAGCAGCTATTAGTAGTGGCCATTGACCTCGGCGCAGGGTCACGTACCTCGAACGCAGCAGTTGCAAGTGCGCATATTGCCGAGAGAACCCCAGCGGTCAGCCGTCACGCATGGGTTGGGCGGCTGTTCATACCGGCCGGGGATGTAGCTGCAGGAGACAGGCAGGCTCCTTGGGAACTCTTCCTCGGCAGGCTTGGGCTGCTGCGTCTCCGCCTTGGGCTTGGGAGCAATCGTCTCGGTAGTGCTGTTCACGATCTGACCATCCTTGACGGTGCGCTTGATAAGCCAGTGCTCGTTGCTGTAGCAGGTAATGCCCCGCTCAACGCAGGACTGGCACAGGTCGAAATCGCCGTCCTCACAGGTAGAGCAGTGAAAGTGTGCCTCGGGGATCGTCTTGTCGCAGCTGTTGCAGCACACGGCAAAAGCACAGGCCGGGGCGCCAGACTGCGTGGGAGCCAGGGTGGTGGCCGAAGAGTTGTTCATGGCTGCTGACGCATCGTCAGAATCCGTAACGCGACACTTGACGCCCAGCTGCGAGGCTAGAGCGGCGATATTTGTGTTGTTTTGCTTGAGCTTCTGGATCTGCTCCTCCATTACCCGGTTCCAGGCTTCGGTACTGTTGTCCGGCGACAGGGTCGTGGCGACAGGCGTGCTCGTGGCGTAGGCAAGAGCACCCAGGGAGTCGGGAGCCGTGGCTGTCGTAAGCGCTGGGACTTCTGCCTCCATAGTCGCCGACTCAGGGGCCTCGGCGGCCGGGGCGGCCTCGACTTCATCCTCTACGGTGACGGGCTTGGGAGACGTTCTCTCCTCCCTGTTGAGGATCGTGACGCGGAGCTTGAGTTTCGACTTGGCCTTGGCGGCTCGATACAGCTGCTTGTAGACGGACGCGTTCGCAGGGTCGAGCATGACATAGGCCGCAGCCGAGTCGGAGTACCGCTCCATCATGACCTTGGCGTCGAGAGGAAGATGCAAGAAGGCTCGGACCTGTGTGCAGGTTAGCACCATTCACCAAGGTGTCAGCAAGCAGGGTGGCTACGAACATTTCTCTCGAGGGAGTTTGGGACCATGTCCCGGAGCGGCATCTTGGCCCGGCGAGTGACTCCATCGAAAAGGACCTTCAAGGTGATGGGGGCATCGAGGCCAGGGTTGTTCCGGAAGACCAGGCTCGGGGGGTGTGGAACTGTCGACATCTTGAACGAGGCGCTCGGGAGCGTGCCGACGACGATCGAGATTTGATGAGTTCTAGAAGGAAGAGAGGTCAACGAACTGCAGGCCAGCTACATTTGTAGGGTGCGTGTCCGGTGTGAGGGGCCGCGGTGCCAGCTCAAAGCTTGATGGGACGGGGCGAAGGCGACTCTGCAGGCGGTGACAGGTGGTGACGAATGGCGACTTACCAGGAGCTCGGAAGCACTGGGGCCCGGTGGCTCAGGGTCGGACAGCGGTGGAATGGGCGGTCAACTGGACCCCTAATCGACGCAGCGTGTGCAGGCCACGTGGAGGCGTTTCGACAAGCTCCCTCCTGACTGCGTGCCCGCGAGGGAAAATGCGAGATATGTGCGAGGCCGCTCGTGATGATGTCGGGCAGACGGCGATGCAGATTGATGATGGAAGGGAAGGGAAGAGTGACGGGGACGGGAACTGGGCGTTGGGGGTGGGTGATAAGTGGAGAGGGGGGAGGAGACGCAGACGGGGAGTCGAGGTAAGAAGAGGAGAAAGAAGGCGCTGGAGTTGGGGGAAGCTCTCGCTAGCACAGGAGCTAAAAGGTGGGCCCCGCCCGGGTGCAGCAGCCAGCAGGAAGCGCAGGCGGGTGTGGTGTCGCGGCGGGGGGGCAGCAGCAGCAGCGGCTCAGTGGACGGGTACAGGGCGCCTGCTCGGGGAGGGAGGCGTCGATTCAGGCGGACCGAGGCGGGGGTGGTACTCACGAGACCCGGGGAGAGGGGGCGACGCGCCGCCAAACGAGGAGCTGCCTGCAGGGGATGCAGTGGAGAGCCGTCAAACTCCACTCTTGTGCTGTGGTGGAAGCGGGAGGGCGGCTTCCAGTTTCTGTGATGTCGACTTGTTGCGGCAGACTTTGGTCGCTGCTCTTTGCTAGGTACTGCACTGCCTGCCACGAAAGCATGTCCGTCCGTATTTACGAGCACCGGCGGCAGACTCGAGGCGCCCGCGGGGCGAGACTGAGACTTAATAGTTTGTCTGGGCGGGGGGAAGCCCTCCAGGCGCGGAGCTGATGACGCCTCCCGTCCCAGGCGGGCGGACACAGCAGCCAGCAGCCCGCAGCAGCAGCAGCAGCAGCAGCAGCAGCACGACAAGCAGGCACGGCACGGCACTGACAAAAAGGCAAAAAGAAGGATCTAGAGGATACCCGCTGCTGGGTGGCATGGCGTCAGAAAGCCCAGACACCAGGCGCCAGACACGGGGCGCCACCGCAGCGGGCACCCGCACCCCGTGGCCGCCGGAGCTGTCTCGTCTCGCCTCCCGCAGGCAGCGGGCGCGAGTCGTCATGGCCGCACAGTTGGCAGGCTGGGACACTCGGAAACGCAACCTCAGGCGCGGGGCTTGCCCTTCGTTTTTTTGCCTCTGGCGGTGCATTCCTCAGCTCCGGCGGCTCCCGTGGCGGCGAGCGAGCCAAGTGGCCGGTGTTTGAAGTCTGTCGTGGGACGGAGCAGCCACTGGCTGCGTCGACGACCTGACGCTGACCTCGGGATGGCGGGTGTCGTCGTCGAGCGAGCACCACCTCCGTCGCCCAGGTGGAGGCGGTCGCCGTCGTCGTCGTCGTCTTCGCCCTTCGCGGCTTGCCTGGACAAGCCCAGCCGACGCGGCTCGGGCCCACAGCAGCATGGACGACATGGGGTACGATTCTAGTAAATCGAAGTGGACACTCTGATCCATGCAAGTTTCCCTTTTCCCCCCCACCGCCGACCCCGACGCCGCCGGCCATGCCATCCAGGCCTGGGTCGACAGGGCAAGCAGCAGCAGCAGCGGTGGCAGCAGCAGCAGCAGCATTGTCGGGTGACGTGTGTGCCACGGCAGCGACAGGCAGTGTAGCCTCTCGCCGGCGACTGATTCGTCGCGCCCACCAGCTCTGCGACTGCGAGCACCGCGCACAGCATCTCGCCCGGCACACGCCGAGCAGCCCTGGCCTGGGCCGTCGTAAGCTTTCCCTCTGCTCGTGGCTGGCGGCCGTCCCTTTTTCTTCTCCGCCGCCTTGCCCCTGTGAAACGGCCAGACAGACGGGCGAGCGGGCGAGTGATCATGCTAGTTTATCAGCTCATGGTTGAACGTGACCACGAATCCACGGACGGACGGGGGGGGTACCGTAGCCAGCGCTGCCAAGCCAGTTGAGCCCCGGCGTGGCGGACGGGGCTGCTAAGCCGCATGGGGCAGTATCGCATCCCCCATCGGATCGCGTCTCCGGGAGACGAGCTTGCGTTTTTACATACTGCACTGCACTTGGCCCCAAACCTCACCAGCCCGGTCGTCTCATTGTCTTGTTGCCTCGCGTGCGTGCATCCAACAAAGCGAGCAGCCGGCGCGTTTTGTCCACGTAATGGATGAGCCCACCACCACCACGACCGCCAGCCCCCCTTTTTCCCCGCTGAGGCTCGATTCGATGCGAGGCGATGCGATGCGATGCGATGTGATGCTGTGCAGCGACACAACACAGCACAAACGGACACCGCTGTGCTGCCCGCCAGGCCAGGGAGTAAGTTAGGTTCTCTCGTCAGTCTGGCCGGCGAACCCCTCCCACCGGTCGTCTCACATTGCGTTGCCTCACTGACGAGTCGCCTCGCCTGCCCATCCATCCTGGGGGTCCGCCGGCTTCCCTGCCCGCTGCCTCGGATTTATTAATAGCATAATAGCACGATGGGGCCGCGTTGATTGCGAGATGCCCCCATCGACTGACTGACTGCCTGCCTGCTCCTGAGTCCTCGCCCCTAGGCGGCAGATGCCCACGGGTCGAGGCCCCGGCGTCCCGGCCTCGCGTCCCCGGCATCTGGAGGCATGTCAAATGTTACGTCGATGCTCCCCGGGGACGCGAGCCGTGTCGGCATCTCGGCGCCCTGCGCGATCAATGCGTTTCCCGTTCCACAGCGCTGTCCCGGGCATCGTCCTGCTCCACGGCCAACCGAGCCTGGAAGCCCCAGAGTCCTGGCGTTGCCTCCTCGCTCGAGTCGCCCTGGTTCGCGACTCGCGTGCGCGGCAACAAGGCAGCCGCACCGTGTAAGCGGCCAGTTTCGCCTCCCAGGCTCCCACCGCCGCCCCCAAAAGGGCTCCACCCACATTTGCACGACGGCAGAGATATGATATTGAGTCCATTTCGAAGAGCCTCCAAAAACTGCATTGTGCTTTCTGGTTTGTGATACTGTGCGGTCATTGATAAGTCATGTAACCACTAGGCAGCCGCGTCGACGCGGCCGCCGAACTGCCAGAGGCGGAGCCGGTGCTCCCGCTTCGATGACAACCTGATCGGTGACGAGGGTCTTGTCGGTGGTTGGAGCAAACCTGCATTGGATGAGGAGGGCTTTGCATTTACTGCGACCATGATGGTGTTAATTGGCATGGCAATTATACCTTGTGCTGGGCATCTAGCTATGCAAGATACCTAGCGGCGGCATCTTTTCTGTTAAACACTAATTGTGTTGTACTTCGCTCACGTCGCTCGCATGTCGAGTACTCGCACAAGGATGCCTCGACAACAAAGTCCTGGACTCCGGGTATCGCAGTGCCTACCAGCCGTCACCCCATTAAACAATGAGCAGTTCATGCGAGGCGTAGCACGGTCCATGTACGTATTGCTGGCACTGGAAGCCCCAGCTTCGCAATGTTGATAGGCGTTTGCCGTGTTCGCCTCGTTTCACCAAGCGCCGCCTCCAGGTTCCCTTGCCACCCAGTCGCGGTGTGCCTGACTGACCGCCTTTCGACAACCGCCAAGCAACGCCGCAGATATCTCACCTCCTCAGTTCCGAGCTTTCTCTGCGATACAGAGCTCACGACGAGGAACCCACCAGACACTTCCACGCCTGATACTCTCGTTGACAATGACAACACGAGGGGCGACGGGTCGCGGGATGTTGTCCCTTGGACCGGAGACACGCGGCTGGTAACTTACCAGATGTCCCGGCCAGCACGAGCACATCCTTGGAGCCTTGCGTCCTCTCTTCCTCCTACTTCGTGATGGAGTCTTCAAACGGTACATTGAGAAACCCGGTGACCGCGTCGAGCTGGCGCTCGCTCCTTGAACCTCCAGATATACATGGTCTTCCGCAACGACAAGTCCGACTCCCATTCTTAGCATAGCCACCCAGTAAACAAAATGCGCCAGGTGCAAAAACGCTCTGGGAGCCATCATTTAACGTCATTCTCCTGCGTCAGAGGGGATATATCATAGCGCTACAATTTTTCCCACGTCAACCACCTCGGTTCAACTACCAAGTACAACATCACTACAACATCACGACAACCCCACAGGAGCACACGGGTCCGGAACCGGGAGTAAAAACATGAGCCCTTTTTTTGGGATTTGACTATTGTGCCATGCTCCCCAACACCCAACAACGCCGGTGCCATGAGCAGCTCCATCCAAATCAAACCAGCCCAAACGTCGTCCCGACGGCCCGTGGCCCGGCGAGCGGACAGCTAAGCATGAGGATGCATCTGAATTGGCAAAAGCAAACGACTGAAAAGGGATGTCAAAAAAGGAAACTGCGAGAGGGCGAGCTTCCATCACCGCCAGAGCCCCCGACAATCGACAAGCGAGCCCGCCTCCCCCCCGCGCTAATGATATCGCACCGCACCGCACCGCATCAGTCTCCCCTCCGCCACTACACACATGCCATCGTACATCCCCCCACGAAAGCAACATCGCCGCTCCGTCCTCTTCAGGGTCAGCGATAGCAAGGAGACTCGGCCGAGTGCGTCATCCAAAATCCCACCCGGCCTCCAACGCACAGCAAGCAAGGCCACCATGCCCAACAAGATGACGGAACCCCAACACGCAGCGCTCTGCAGACCCCTGCCCTGCTTCGGCGACCCCTGCAGCTCCATCCGCCCAGCAACGATACTCAAAGAACGGCGACGGCAAGAAATCGTGATTTTGTGCAACCCACCCCACAGTGGCGACTTATAACAACGGATATTCCAAAGGCTTTCCGGACCCAAAAGCAGACCCCTGATCCCTTCACTCCAGTCAATGTGCGGCGTCACGGTGTAGGTAAGTCGGTAGGTAGGTAGGTATTAGATTGAGTAGAAAGAAGACGGAGAAAATGGCCCCAGCCGGCGGCGTCCAGAGCAGACGGCCCAAGATGCTACTGAGGGTAGTACATCATGCCCGGTGCCTGCTGGGGATAGTAAAATGCATCCGGGCTCGGCGTGACCATGCCTCCCATCCCCATGACGCTTGGCTGGAACGCCTGCGGAGCCGAGTAGGGCGGGTAGGAACCGACAGGCTGCATCTGGGACGTGTCGTAGTAATAAACCATGCCATTGACCTCTTGCGCCACGAGGCTCGTGGGTCCGGGCATGCCGCCTTGCGGAGCCTGCTCTGCCTGGTTCTGCGGAGTGTAGCTGCCGTGTTCAGCGGCCGGGACGAATGGAGGAGCTGCCGCCGTCGTGCCCATCGCAGGGCCGGAATAGCCAGGAGGGTAGTAGTAGCCCTGCTGGGCCTGCCCCTGGGGCTGGTAGACCTGGTTGTAGTACGGCGGCTGGTTGTACGCATTGGGCTGGAAGGGCGCTGCATGGATCGCCCTTTCCGGGATTTGGGAGAGCGGCGTCCCGGTCGAGTGGTGGGAGGGATACGACGGCCGGCGTGCGTGCCCATGCGCGTCCTGGCCGAGGCCGTTGGCCACTTGCACAGGAACCTGTTGGTGGAACGGCTGCTGGAAGGCTTGAGGACCTTGGAGCAAGGCAGGCGGCTCAATGTCCGCGACGGAGATGTTCTTCTGAGGGCGGGGCTGATGCATCGGCAGCGACGCGGGCCGGTTCTCGTGGACGGCTGGCTTCTGCGGAAGAGGATGCGTCTGTGGCTGCGGCAGGTCAGTGATTGAGGCCTCCTGCACAGCAATGGGCGTTCCGTGCTGTGGCAGAGGTTCAACGGGCTGCCCCGGCATTTGCATCTGCATATCGGGCCCTGGAGCAGGCGGCAGCCGGACGACCGGCCTGGCCGCATCGGCAGGCATCGGCGGTCTCGACATGACCGAACCCGTGGGCGAAAACATCATGTCCCGCTCGTGAACGATCGACGACCTTCGGCTCATGGCGACGCTTGGAGAGTACACGCTTCCCGCATAGTAGCTGCCGCCTCCGAAGACACTCGTGCGTCTCGAGTAGCCGCCGACGGAACCACCCCAGGTAGACCGGGGTTTGCCACGCATGCGTTGCTGGTTGGGCCGCAGGGCACGCGGGATGAAGGTGAAGGACCGGTCGGGTGCCGGGAAGATGTATCGAGGCGGGTGGTTCGGCAAGGAGATGCGGACAGGCTTGTCCCTCCGCAGGGGTGGCCGGTGATCAGGCAGCTTGGTGTACTGCTTGACGGGCATGCCCGGAAAGACGGCGGGTACCTTCATGCGCGGCAGGAAAACCCTGACCTGAGCATTGCCAATGTGCTTTTCTGTTGACAGCGTCCGGTTGATGGGTGTTGCACTAGGCTCGCACGTCGGGATGATGCCGTTGCCGTTGGGCGGTCCCTCGCTCTGGTTGTGAATCTGTCGAGGGCGGCGAGGAATCGGGTCGGCCACGGCCTCGTGCATGTCGTGAGTCCATGGCGAGTTTGTCGTCGGATCTGACGGGTGATGCATGTGATTGCTTTTAAAAAAAAATGGTCAGCGAATGCGGAGAGGGCCAGGCTTGGGTCATCGCGAAGCATACTTGAAGGGAGAAAAGGGGCCGCCGACGACGGCTCCGCCGCGGCCACCCCTTCCCCGGCCTCTGCCAAACGGCCTGAAGCCATTGGCGGCAGGGCCAGCATGCCGATGGTCGTGCATGAAGAACGAGCCTCTGTTGGGGACAAATGCCGGATCCTCATCTCTCCGACGCTTGTAATCCTCGTGTTCCTGGCGACGGCGGTCGACCTGGGAGGCGGGCTGCGGCCTGGGGGCCGATGCGGAGCTCACAATGATGGGAGCCGAGGGGGATTTGGGTGGTGACACGACGACATCATCAAAGTGCATCGCCTGGGCCGGGGCGGGCTTGTCGGCGATGGACAAGCCATGCAGCATCGCGTCCGTGTCCGAGACGGCATTACTGCTGGCCTGTTGAGCGTCCTGGCCCGCGGGTTGGCGCGAGGCGGTCTTGGGCGCTCCGTTTGCCGACTTCTTGGCATCAGGCGATGTTGGCGATGCTTCATCGATGTTGCTCGTGTCGCTATCCTCGCCGGCGTCGATATCATCGGTCAAGAGCGAGCCGTCGCTGAGGGACTCGTCATCGAGGTCGAGCGCGTCGGTGCGGGCGTCGTCGTCACCCTCGTCCTCGACGCGGCGCCGATGGCCGATTCTCCTGCGTCGCGGAGCAGCCATGGAGGCGGGAGGAATCGATGGCCGGGCGTCTGGCGGCGTCGGCCTAGCCACGGCGGAGAGATGCGAGGCGGACGGATCGTCGACGACGAGAGGGATGGCTCTGCAGGCCGGTCATGCGGTGGGAGCGATGGACCAGGCGATGGACGGACCGAGAGGCGCGGACAAACAAAGAAGGTTTCGTAGCCCAACCCGCCCTGCGGTGCCAGACCAGGTGACGGCACGTACCTACCCAACGGAGAAACGTGCCCAGACCACGGCGGACGGGACGAGTCGTCAGGGTTGGCGCAGACCAGGCTGTGGATGAAACGCTCGCTTCCAATCACGAGATGGGAGCGGCGCGCGAGAGGAGAAGGGAGAAGGATGGGAAAGGGTCGGAAGAGGAGGAAAGGGAAGCTCGGCGTGGGCGGGCGGCGTCGGTGGATGGGATTATGGAGAAAGGAAGACGCAAGATTTGGCGGCGACGTGGTGGTGGATGTGGTCGTGGTGAATCGAACAGAGTTCCAAGGTTCCCCCCCAAAAAAAATGCCCGCCCCCCGGTCCACCACCTCAGCAGCGAGGAAGGGACGAAGGCAAGGGAAGCAGCAGCCACCTCAGTGCGCTGTAGGCGGGTAGGAGCTCCCACCACAGCACCTCACCTCACTGGCGCCGCCAGGCCAGGCCAAGTGGTGCGTTTTTTGGTGGGCGGCGGCGGTGGCGGGTGGTGCGACGGGCGGTACGGGGCACTGTAGGCACCGTGCTGGCACTTTCACTTGCCAGGCCAGTGGAGGCTGCCCGCTCTCCTCGACTTCCATGTAAGCAAACGCGGGCAGTGCGCGAATCCCATGGGACGCGGCGGGCGGAGAAGCATGAGGTGCCCGGGGAATTCAGCCAAGCCATGGCTTTCGGTGGCTCAATGCTGTTCTTTACGCGCTGACTGTTGCGGTGCTTGCCGACAAGGTTTCCGTCTGTTGGACTCTCTATTCTGTCGCTCGTACCTCACATCGTCAGCGCGCACGCGCACGCGCACTGGGCCAGACGGCGAGCCACTGCGCTGGATTTGAGGTTTCGTGCTGGGCTACGGCAAACGCGCACCAGCAGGCAGGTTGGAGATGGAGCACCATCTGATCGGGTGGTGGCTCGACGCGATCCACTCGTCCTCGGCTGCTAGGTACCAGTGCACCGGGCACGGGTGCGGGGGTACCTGTCAACTGAGCCAGCCTCCACCGCGGCCATCCGCCGTCACGAACAAATGGGAAGCACGGAGCACTTTATTCCATCATCACTTATCATCGATCGAAAACTCGCCGAGGAGGAGGAGCCTCCGAGTTCGCGCCGGCGCAAAGAAACGTGATTGAGAGTTGCATTTTACTTTTCTTCTTCATCCATCGCGTGCAGTGCTGCAGCAGGGCCAAGGCTCGCCGATGCAGGTTGCCAATTGCTCCATGCAAATATAGGTAGGACCTAACAAGCTCTCCCTGCCTACCAACAACACAAAACGCAGTGCCGCGTCGCGCATCGCCATCCGTGAGCGTGGAACCATTGGTGGTGGACGGTGTGGTCGTTCGTCAGGCAGTTCCGCCAGTCATCCCACCGCAGCCGTCTCCCCAGCAAACGAGCGTGGCCCCGTGCTTGTCAGCGGCCCTGCTGCCGACCCGGTCGGTCCCCGCACACGGCGGCGCGCGCCCGCATGAGGTGCGGAGTGAGGGTGCATCGGATCGCATCGCACCAGCCAGCGCACTCATGTCGCAAGCAAACCCCCCGACCACTCGGGGCCTGGGAAAGATCTGGTGTGAATGCCAATGCGCCGGCGTCGAGCGATAGTCGTGCATTTCTGCTTGGCACCCCGCGCGAGCAGACCGATACCAGGCCCCGGGGTCGACCGTGAGATCTGGCGGCGGTTTATCGCATGCCTCACAAGCGTATGATCGACGAGCGACTGCCGCAGAATCCCGCACACTGTTCGACGAGCCGGTGAGTGAAGGCCAGCCACAACGATGTTCTAGCACTCCCGGAAACATGTTCGTTCCGTCCGGCAGTCACAAGTCCTTCCTCAAATCGCCTCGTTGAGCAAAACTTGCCGGCATGCTCGCTCCAAAGGTGCAGGGTAGCCCACCCAGTTTGAGACGCGCTCTCGATTGTAAGCTGACTTGGATGACGACCTGCCACATCACGAGTCACGACACATACACCCGCTCATCCAAGACAGGCAGACAAACAAGCTCAGCAAAGACCCAGGTCCGGCTGAAGTGAACGAATCCTCCCGTGTCACACGGGACCAATGCCTCCGGGGTATCGACGGAGTACGTACTCACTCACCTGCCCACCCATGCACACGGCGCCGCTGCGTGTAACTCGAGTCTTGATAGACAGAGCAAGCCCATCCAGCATCTCGTCCCCCGGTCCGGTCCACCCAACTGCCCTCCTCGGATATCTGCCGTGTAACGAACGCGGAGACCATCCGCAGCGCTCAGCGGCAGCAGACGTGCACACACAGACATTGTCTGTCATCCGTCAACAAATCGCACCGGCAGACCGGCTCCTCGCAGAGGCCGGGGAGGGGACCCTGGTTCCCCCGTCTGGCAGGTCAGAGGTCATCCATCCATTCTCCTCCGCCACAGCCAACTCCCCCGGTGTGTGTAATGTGGTGCACGAATTGGAGGCGTACCTACAGTACTGTCCATGCATGCTTCGTATACTACTACGTACAACGTCGAGTGAGCGAGGGAGTGAGTGAGTGAGTGAGCGTCGCGCGCCTCGAGCGCGCACGCGGCCATGAGACAACCCACAGCCTCGAACCGTTTTTGCTTTTCCGCCCGCACGCACGCACGCGCGCGAGTCGCCGACACCCACGTCCCGCGACGACGGGAGACTATTGCCCATCCTCTTTCAGCGCAGCAGCAGCGACGGGACGACGACGCCATCACCGTAGGAGCTGCCGCCGCAGCTGCAACCTCGTATGCACCTACATAAATAAGGAACGACAACAGCTGCCCCAGCACCAGCACCAGCCGCAGCCGCAGGCGCCGCCGCCGCCGCCGCCGCAGCTCCGACGAAAAAAAGCGGGACGCGCTCCATGCCCTCTCTGGTGCCCGCTGCCCGCTGCTGCTGCTGCACCTCGCCAGATGCAGCAAGTGCAGGGGCGGGGTTGGGACGAGGGATCAACACTGCGGCGGCGGCGCGACGAACGAACGAACGAGGGGAAGACGGACGCGGGAAGCGGAGCTGCTCTCGAAATGGGGGCAGCTCCAGCAGCAGCAGCAGCAGCAGCAGCAGCAGCTCTCTCGCTCTGGGAGGTGCTGTGTCTCTTTCCCTCTCCAACGGCGGGTGGGCGAGCGGGCAGGCGTCCCAGGCGGGGTTTCGGCTCACACCTGCCTACCTACCTCTGCTCCGCTCCGTAGAGAGGAGCTCGTCCCGCTCCCCGTCTTTGACCTCATCTCTCTCTCTACCCCAAGGGGACTGACCCTAGGTGCGGACGGGGGGGACCCAGAATATCAATCATCTGCCATCCCCTCCCCCCTCTCTTCTCCCCCCCAAGGTCCCATGCCCCCCCCTCCTCTCCCCTTCTCTTCAATTCATCATCCCCTCTCACTCTCTCTTTCCTCTCTCCCTCCCTCTCTCTCTTCACGTCGACTCTCCCCGCCCTCTCCATCACCTCTAATATATAATCCTGTTTTGGTCTCGACTCTTTCTCCCCGCCTCTCTCTCTGTCTGTTTGACCCGACCGCGATAGACGTCCTGCCAGCAGCATGACACGCGCACTCTGCAGCCAGCGAATTGCATCTTTATCATAGCAGCACCAGCAGCAGTAGCCAGCCAGCCAGCCAGCCAGCCAGCCAGAATCTCCTTCCCCAACACACCCCGCCCGCCGCCCATCAGAAGCGGCCCCGGTGCGCGGCGCGCGCGAGAGAGAGAGAGAGGAAAAGAAACATCGACGTCATGGCCAGCCTCCCCTCGCAACACCCCACCCTGTCCATCCACCTCTCCGACCTCACCCTCACCCCGCTCATCACGTCGTCGTCGTCGCCCTCTCACCTCGACTCCCTCACCTCGCTCACCTCGAGCGCCCTCTCCTCCCAGACGGCCGCCCAGCGCGCGCAGCTCGGCCGCCCCCAGCGCATCATGGTCGAGTACCCCGACGCCGGCGCCGTCGTCCTCCAGTCGTACCTCGACCCCCCGCCGCCGCCGCCGCCCACTTCTGCTGCCGCCGCCAACACCACCACCTCACGCAGCAGGAAGAACTCGTCCGGCCCGTACAGGGACGACAGGGGCGATAGCTTGGGTGTCGCTGGCGGCGGCGGCGGCGGCTCAACAGGCGCGGGTGCCCGCTCGGAAGACGCCGCGCCCATGCTGGTGGGCGTCGTCGTCGCCGGCTCCTCCAACGAGGCCAAGGAGGCCCGGCGCGCCGCCGTGAGGCTGGAAAGGGTCGGGCGGGAGTTCCAGCGCGAGTGGGCGGCCCAGGCGTCCGAGCGGACCACCGACGGAGCCTCCGGGCCCGAGTGAACAGGCAGTCCGGGCATGGCACTGCCGTCCCGGGCGGCGCCAACGGCGCATGCGGGTCCGGCTTCTCAATCAGCCAGATCCGACCCTTGACGGATCGAGCGGATCACCAGGTGGCGAAGTCGATCGAGCAGGGGTATCACAGTACCCGAGACTCTCGGCCGCGTCATCGAGGCCTTACGGAACACGAAGAATCGCGCCGCAGCGAGGCATGAATTGACGACAATAATATAGCATGAGCGTGGAGTCGGCGGTTAATGCATCACTCGTCACGGCCGGTCGGTGGCTGGCTGTTCAGCTCCAAAAGAAGGCTCGATCAATCTTGAAATTCTTGACAACATCTAATTTTGGTTCCACAAAAAGTCCCTAGACATTCCCGATGCTCCGTAATCCATCGTCACTGCGTAAAATAGTCGCCTAAAATCAACAAACGGTCGGCGTGCTTGTTTCTTCGGAAGCCCGCCCGCCTGCCAGCCTCGTCCAGGCAATCTAGATGTGCTGCTGGAACGCACGGTTGATGGGAGAGCGCACGTTGGGCACCTCCTTCCAGAAGTCGACCGTGGCGACGGCACGCTTGGAAATGCCCTCGGGAGTGAACTCGAACTTCTTGTAGACGTCCTTGTAGGCACCAGACGCGCCGAAGCGGTTGATGCCGAACTGCTCGTGGGTGTAGCGCTCCCAGCCCATGGTGCTCATGACCTCAACGGACAGCGCAGGGATGCCGTCGGGCAGGACGGACAGCCTGTACTCCTTGGACTGAGTGTCGAACACCTCGAAGCAGGGCATCGACACGATGCGAGCCTTGATGTTGTGCTTCTCGGCCAGGTACTTGGCGGCGTCAACGCAGATGCCGACCTCGGAACCGGTGGAGACGAGGGTGATGTTGGCGCCCTCAACCTCGTGCAGGACGTAGCCACCCTTGATGGCCTTCTCGATGGTGGAGCCCTCGAGCTGCGGCAGGTTCTGGCGCGACAGAGCCATGATGCTGGGGGTGTGCTTGGACGTCAGGGCGACGTAGTAAGCGGCGCTCGTCTCGTTGCCGTCGGCCGGGCGCCAGACCATGCAGTTGGGAAGGGCACGGAAGTGAGCCAGCGTCTCGATGGGCTGGTGGGTAGGACCGTCCTCGCCAAGGCCGATGGAGTCGTGGGTGGCGACCCAGATGGTGCGGACCTGCGACAGAGCCGACAGGCGGACGGCACCGGCAGCGTACGAGACGAAGTTGAGGAAGGTACCGCCGTAGGGCAGGATGGTGCCGTAGGCGGCGAGGCCGTTCATGATGGCACCCATGCCGTGCTCACGGACACCGTAGCGGACGTAGCGGCCGGCGTAGTTGCCAAGGCCAGTCGACTCGGGCTGGAAATCGACGGCATCCTTCCAGCGCGTCAGGTTGGAGCCGGTAAGATCGGCAGAGCCGCCGAAGAGCTCGGGAATGGCCGCCTCGATCTTGGACAGGACAGTCTCTGACAGCTTGCGCGAGGCAACGGCCGCGCCGGAAGGAGTGTAAGTGGGAAGGTTCTTCTCCCAGCCCTCGGGCAGATCGCCCTTGAGACGGCGCTGGAGGTCAGCGTGCTCCTTGGGGAACTGCTTGGCGTAACCGTCCATGAGGGCGTTCCACGCCTGCTCAGCCTCGGCACCCTCCGAGGAGTGCTTGTGGTACATGTCGTAAACCTCTTTGGGGACGGCAAACGACTCTTCGGGTTTGAAGCCCCACTTCTTCTTGAGCTGCTCGATGTCCTCGGCCTTGAGGGGAGAGCCGTGGACGCCGTGGGTGCCCTGCTTGAGAGAGCCAAAGCCAATGATGGTCTTGAGCTTGATCAGACTGGGCTTGTCCGTGACCTTCTTGGCCTCATTGATGGCCGCCTCGATGCGGAGAAGTGAGTCCTCCTTGTCGCCGTTGCCATCCTCGACGGTGACGACGTGCCAGCCGTAGGCCTCGTAGCGCTTGGCGACATCCTCAGTGAAGGCACAGTTCGTGTCACCATCAATGGAGATGTGGTTGTCGTCCCAGATGCAAATCAGGTTTCCGAGCTGAAGGTGACCGGCCAGGGACGAGGCCTCGCTGGAGACACCCTCCATCAGGCAACCGTCTCCGAGGAAGCAGTAGGTGTGGTTGTCCACAACGTTGAAGTTGGGCTTGTTGAAGGTGGCAGCGGTGTGGGCCTGAGCCATGGCGAGACCGACGGCGTTGCAGATGCCCTGGCCCAGGGGACCCGTGGTCACCTCGATGCCTGGGGTGTCATGGGCCTCAGGGTGACCGGGGGTGATGCTGTCCACACTCTGTGAGGTTGTCAGCGGCGCGGCTCAGCATGCTGTTGTCATACATGAGGAATTGCGTACTCGGAAGGCCTTGAGGTCATCGATGGAGAGGGCGTAGCCGAAAAGGTGAAGGAGGGCATACTGCAGCATGCAGCCGTGGCCGTTGCTGTTTGGCACCCAAAGTTAAAAAATTGTGTCTCCCCTTGCCGATCACCCGATCAATGGGCGCGCGCGCTGGGCGGCAAACTTACGACAGGACGAAGCGATCCCGGTTCAACCACTTGGGGTTCTTGGGGTTGAACTTCATGAACTTGTTGAAAAGGACGTGGGCGACGGGAGCCATGCCCCTGTGACGGCGGTCAGCGGATGCTTCGGCGTCGCGCGGAGTGGCGAGGAGCAGGAGAACTCACATGGGGGCACCGGGGTGACCGGAGTTGGCATGGAAGGTCGCATCAGCCTGTGAAAGCAACCGTCAGCTCAATGATCGATCCCGTCGCCGTCTTCTCCCTCTCGCGCAAAGTCAGCAGTGTTGAGGCGAGCTCAACATTTGCGATGCTGCGGCGCGTGGCGGGGCAGAGGAAGCTCTCGTGGCGGGGTAGCAGGGAGGACGTACCGCCAGCAGGCGGATGGTGTTGATGGCCTTTGTGTCGAGTTCGGTGTAGCCCATGATGCCGGTCTTGGTTCAATGAGGTTCTAGATGGGAGGAGAGGAGGCAGGGTAAGGAGAGAGGGGTATATGGGTTGTATGAAGGAGGGAGGAAAAAATGAGAAAGCAGGAGAGGGTTGAGGAGGACAGGGTGAAGCTCAATGGTTTTTTGGGGGGGGAGGGATTGCTTCTGAGGGGTTATGTCATGGATGGGAAATGGCGAGGTGGGAGTGAGAGGACAGTGGGGCGGGTAGGCGGTTCCAGTGGGCGACGAAGCCCCGTCAGGCACGGTTGCCGGATAAGGTGGATGCGGGTACGGTAGGGGACGCCGGGCCTGAGCAATCATGACACCCGGCGGGCCACCTCCCTCTCACATCCATCCTGAGGCGGCGGCGGCGACGGGCGGTGGGGTGGGGGAATGGAGGCATGGCATGGCATGGCGTGGCATGGTATGGAAGCCCGGATGGATGTACCTCTTGCAGCACGGTTGAGGGCGCGGCCAGGCGAGTGGATGGGCTTGGGGTACCTACATGCGACGTGCAATACCCGAGGCATCAGCAGCAGTTGGCAATGCTGTTGTCCGCCACGTTGATGGTCCTACTGGATGGAGGTTCCGGGCATGCTTCCCGCACGCACGGGCACTGGGGCCAGCCGCCAACCGCCAACCGCCGCCGCCGCCGCCGCCGCCAAGTGCGAATGCACCTTATCCGTGCAAACCGCTGGGGGCGGGTTGCTGAGTGCAGTAATTCCTGCGCCCGCAACCGGGCATCCAAACCAAACCAAACCATCCATGCCATCCCATGCACCCATGCCATCCCTCCCCCCTCCATCAACCACCACCCGACCCCTCTATGAATTTTAAAACCGGGTCCGCTGCCCCTCCATCCCGCCCGCCGCGAGGCCCGCGCGATGCCCACAGCGGTCGCGATAGCGGCCAGTAGAGTTGGGGTGAGGCAAAAGTCTGCCCGCGATTGACGCAATGCGCCCAGCGCTGGCTCCAGTTTAGATCCGCACGGTTCCGTCATGATGGGTTCGTTGCTGCGCCGAACGACAGTGGTCTGGTAGCATGACGACGGCAACGACTACGACGGACGACGGCATGACGACCGGGCAAAAAGAACGAACCTGCGACGGGGCTGAAGCAAAAAGATGCTGTGTCATGCCAACCCTGCCGGGGTGCGCGCCTCCCTGTCGCGCGTTGCGGCGGCAGCGGGTGCTGCTAGTCAGCATTACCCAAGCCCAGTGCTACAAGCTGCTCATCTGCTACCGAGTACCGGCTGCCCGCCAGCCCATGCCGGGGATGTCGGTGCTGCCGTCCGAGGCGGTGACGTCGTCGCGCCTCCGGTTTTATCGGGTACCTACACGGAGACGGACATGATTTGCGGCCAGGCGTGGCATTGCGGCTTTTTCCTTTTCTTGTCGTTTCAAATTCTCACCTGGGCCTTCTCCTCGGCCGAAATGCGGATTCACGAGGTCGACGGGCAAATTGGGCGGTGCTCCGTCTCAGTAACGCGATATCGCAGCGGCGTCGGCGGGGGGGGGTGCTGCAGTGGGCGACGGACGGGCTGCAGGTGGGTGTGCCTGTTCGGCCGTGGCTGCGCCCAAATCTGCCGGCGCGGACGGCGGACGGACCACTGTGCTCCGGACCAGTGGGCGCCACAACTTGATCGCGCCGGTATTAGTCGTCGAGGAGCAAGCAAAAGTCGGACATGGCATGGCAATGGCAAGACCTTGTTGCTGCAGTGTAGTAGTGCCAGCACTTGCGCACGGGAAATCTGTAGACGCACGAGTAGGAGAGCACGGCAGCTCCGGGCGACGACGGCGCGCGCGCGTTGGCCTCGAATTGCCCGCTCGCCAGGCCAGGCCAACCTTGGGAGAGAGCCTCGTGGGGAGCCATTGGCTGACGGCGGCCCACGGATTTTTTTGACTCGCGGCCCGGTTGAGACCGCAAGGTTTGGGCCAAGCCACTCATTCCATCTGGCCTCCGACATCTCATGACTGCGGAGGCTGCTCGAGCCGAGACGAGGCTATTGTCACGCCAGCCGGGCCTCGCGACCGTCCCACGGCACGCCGCCCATTGTGACGACTCGCTGTGGCTGACGGGGACGGGAGGGAGGGGGCATTGTGCGAAGAATGCTGCAGCGCCTCATTGCAGGACGACGGACGCAAACGGCTTCAACAAGAAGCAGAGCCGAGGGCAGGCGAGCTGGACGTCAAGCTTCCGGAGGGCATGCCCTCGTACGACGGGGAAACTGGTCTGGGGGGAGAGGAGAGGGAAGCAAGCATCTTGGCGCTGGGCAATAATAGCCTACTGGGGCGAGTTAGGCCTGCAGCTCCCCTGCTGTGGGAGCTGCACGCTCTGAGCTACGTGCTGAGGTGCGTTGCTGCGGGCGCCCGGGCGACCCAAGCCAGCCGGTTGGCGGATTATTTTCCGGCCCACGGCGCCCACCGGGGAACCGGGAACCCACACGCAACCTCGCGCGCCAAATTGAGAAGGAACCCAGATGAGGCATGTAGCCGCCGGGCAGCGCCGCATCGGACCCTACTACGAAGTACGTACGGGCCTCTTGACACAAAGCAAAAAGAGGTGTGCGCGCCTGTCCCGGTTTCCCGCCGCCCCCCGCAAGCAATGGGCGGCCGCCGAGCCACGGCATCCAAGCGGAAGCCGCCCGCCTCGGCCGGCGGTGCCGGGCGACAGCCTGCCGGAGGACCCGCCGCCGCCGCCGCCGCCGCCGCCGGCCTGGACGACTACGACGACGGCGAAGACAACAGGGACAGGGAACGAAAGCAGCAGCTGCAGCAGCAGCAGCAGCAGAAGCACCACCAGCAGCGGCTGCTCAACGTCTTCTCCGACGCGTTCGCCGCCGTGCTGGCCCGGGATAGCTTCCCGACCATCCTGCAGGAGATCAAGCAGGCGCTGTACAACCGCGACTTTGCTGCCGCGTTTGGTCGCCAGGACTACCTGGAGGCGTATGCCGCGCGATGGAGCCCCACGAGGGCGCTGTGCTATGCCGCCGTGTTTCGGGGCATCAGGGGCCATCTCGATGCCGTCGTGGCGGTGGATGAGACGGAAGCCATGCCGTCCCGTGATGCTGCCGCGGAGGAGGTCGAAGAGCCGAGCGCCTCAGACTACGGCGCATCTCCTCCCGCGCGACGCCTCAGGATGCTGTGCTTTGGAGGCTGCGCCGCCGAGCACGTCGCCTTTGCGTCCTACCTCCGCGAGACGGCCTCGAGCGGCACCGTCACCCTCGTCGACTCGGCCCCCTGGTCCCAAACGGCATCCCTCCTGCAGCAGCACCTCACCTCGCCCCCTCCACTGTCCAAGTACGCCTCCGCCGCCGCCCGCGCCGCCAACACGGCCCTCCTCGACGACGACTCGCAGCTGCGCTTCGCCTTCTGCCAGGAAGACGCCCTCTCGCTGGGACGGGACCGCCTCGCCGAGCTGGTCGTCGGCGCCACCGGCACGTCGCAGCAGCAGCAGCCGCAGCGGCCCCTCGTGGTCACGCTCATGTTCACCCTGAACGAGCTGTACACGGACGGCGGCATCGGCAGGACGACAAAGTTCCTGCGGCTGCTGGGCGAGGTGCTCCCGGAGGGCAGCCTGCTGCTCGTCGTGGACAGCCCCGGGAGCTACTCCGAGGCGGCCGTCGGCAAGGAGGACAAGAAGAAGAAGTACCCCATGCAGTGGCTGCTGAACCACACGCTGCTCGGCACCGAGACTGTGGGCTACACGTGGGAGGGCATCGAGTCGGAGGATTCCATCTGGTTTAGGCTGCCGGAGGGCCTGGACTATCCCATCCCGCTGGAGAACATGAGGTATCAGATGCATCTCTACAGGATACACAAGTCGAAATCATAGCGCCCAAACCAAGATACCATTCAAAGACATGTCGATGATTTTTTCAAGTCTTGCTCAGGTGTTCGTGTGTCACGTAAGAGGTGTATATCTAGGTATACAGGTATCATCATGCCCACACCAGCTTCTTGATCGAGTGGCCCAGCTGTTCCAGCAAGCCCGTGTTCTTCTTGGCCGCCTCCAGCGAAATGATGTCTCCCTTTTCGATGATGCTCTTCGGTTCCTCTCCCTCCTTGCGCAGCTGCAGCTCCAGCGCCAGGCGCTCAATCTCGGCGCAAATGGTCACCACCTGCTGAAGCTCCGTCTGCTGCGGCCGAGCCTCGGACTCGTGCACCGACGAGGCCTGGTAGGGCGCCTTGAACGCCAGCTTCCGAATAGCAGGCGCCCTTGGCTTGCCGGAAAAGAAGCTGGCGAATCCGTTCTGCCGGGTCGATCCGTCGCTGCTCTGCGAGCTCGACTTTGGCCCAATCTCCCCGCGCGTCGAGAGTGTGCGCGTGTTTGTTCTCGTGACGTTGCTCTTGCCTGGCTGGTACTCGACTACGAAGCCTACGTTTCGCATCTCGTCCATGTGAGATGGCGCGACGGTCGAGGTTATGTACGTGCCAAACTTGATGTGCACGACGTTGCCAAGATGGACTCGCTCGAAGGAAGACACCTTTTCCAGGTCCCAATCGACACGGCAGAGGTAAAGAGCCACATCGGTGAGGAGCAGCACAATGTCCTCCATGGGCCAGGATTTGACAACGTCTGGGCCGTTGGGGCTGATGAGCACCCACCCGCCGTGAACCTCCTCGTTGGCGTCGGCGACCACCCGTTTCTGACACAGGTCAATGGCGCGCTGCCTCATTCTAGAGATAGATACTGCAGGGTCCTTGGTCATCATGTCGGTTTCGAATTCGTCAAACACATTGGCCGTGACGTTTCCTAGGAGGAAATCAATGGCAGCTTGACTGAAGTAGTCGTTGACCATGCTATCAAGAGTCAGTGTCAGGTCCATGGCAGGCAGGAGTCTTTGACGTACCCGTTGTAGAAGCGAGCGAGCGAGAGGCCGAGGTCATTCAGAGCTCCTCGGTAGTCCCTCTTCCTCGTCCGTGTATAGTCACCTTTCATCGCCGCAGTCGAGGCGTACTGCTTCGAGACAGCATCGCCATTGTCGGCCCAAAGGGTGTTGAACCACGCAGTTTCCTGGTCGAGCTGGGCGCTCATATCGATGCCGTCTTCCCTCAACTGCAAGTCAAGCATATGCTTCGCGAACGAACTTTGGCACACGTTGGTGCGATCCAGACAATCCATGCAGTTCGTGCGAAGGACGCCCTTCTGCTTCTCGGATATGGCCCCGTCTTGCTTCGTGGTGCTCCCAAGGTCCTCCAGCTTGCTCCTCAGCTTAAGCAGCAGGTGGTTGACGTTTTCGAATTTCATTCCGCGACATGCTTGGTGAAAGTCGAACCATTCAAAGGGTATCGAGTGGCCATCCTTTGCCTCCCCATTGAGGCGCGCTATGTTCGTTTGGTATTGAGTCCCAATCGGCTCCTCTATCCCATGTTTTTCCACAAGATTGACTATCTGGAGCGCTCCGTATGTACGCATTAGTTTTTCGAAATGCCGCTTGCATGCTTTGTAATTCGTCTCTGCCGAGTGCTGCAGCACCGGAACGGGCTTCAAAGAATATGCAGACTGGGTAAAGAAGAGGGGTATGCTTCCTCTGATCTGCAAGAATGAGTGTATGGGCGTTGCGTCGTCCCAGGTCGGTGAGGACAGGATCTGTTCTGTCTCAACCATGTTTGCCGTGTTGCCGGCTTCGTCCACGCCGCGGCGCAAATACCGGAGCCCAGCCCGCCTGGTCGAGCGTCGAGAAATGAGCGTTATAAGGCACTTTCTCTCTGAAGGCCTCAGATCCAGAGAGTCTCGGGTCTTGCCGGACGGTGGGGAGCTCGGCAAGGATCCAGAGGCTGAGAGGCTGCTCATCTCGAGTGACTCCGCCGAGGGGTCATCCTGCTGTGGTGGTTGACTGTCCACCACAAATGTTCGCTGCCCGATGAAGCCTTGCATGAGTGGCAGAGCCAACGCGTCCTGGCCGGTCTCCATGAAAGGTTGCATGATGTTTCGGTTCCAGAAAAAGGTGCTGTCTACCTGCGAGGAAAGCGGCGCGTCTGTCTTTGGCACAAACGAGTCTTGCGCAAGGCTGCGGGTGAGATCAATGTCGTAGGAGAAGTAAAAGCTTCGTGACGAGCCGAAAAGAACTTTGACAGTACGCAGTAGCTTTGGGAGCAATGCTGAGACTGGTACCGGCTCGGCCATGCCGTCTTTGATGGGGACCTTGGCGATAGAAGAGGCAGTCGAGTCGGTGCTGTCCGCCGCATCGGCGTCAGGCGAAGAGACGCTCATTCCCATGATGCGCCTCTGATCCATAGTCCACCCACTGCGACTGAACCAGCTTTGTGCAAACCTGCCATAGCTTCCTCTCCGGCGCATCACGTCTTCTGCGACACTGCTCCGCTTAGATTGTGACTGGGGCCGTGGCTCTTCCTCGGCGGCAGCTGCGTCGTCAATGTCGTCGGAAGTACCACTAGGGATTTCAACCTCCTCGTCGCTGCTCTCCTCGCCATCGCTTGCTGCCTGGGCGGAACGGCCGCGTAGATGGATTGCTGTCCGTTTGATGGACTCCTCGGCGTCTGCCCTAGAGTGACACGGCGTTACAGCCACGTCCGTCACGACGTAGATTGGAAACCCAAAGATCTGCGCCACCTGCTGCCGCCGAGTAATAGTGACCAGATAGCTAAGCTTGGACACCGTTATTAAGCCTGGGACGTAGCATCGTCAGCGTTGCCGAGCAAGGCTCGGAGACGGACAGGAATATGACCTATTACACCGAACGCCTCGAAGGACGACTCGGGCTTTGAAATGTCGGGCAGCTGGTCCCAAGGCACGGCAGAGACGGTCGAGTCGCCAAAGTGTACCCGGACGGGCAAAGAGGGCCTCTGCCCTTTGGATGAGAGGGGCTGGATTATGAGGCCATCAATGGCAGCGCATATGATGACTTTGCGGGCGATGCCGGGCATCGCGACGAGCGCCAGGCGTTGAGCGCGAGTGACGAGGCGGGCTTTACAAGGATAATACAGATGCTGGAATAGAATGGAGTAAGCAGAGCCGCCAGAAAGGAGAATGCATCAAAAGAGGCACAGCACTGGTGGCTCGAGGTGTGACGGGTAAAAGAAGCATGAGAAGCGGCGCGGAGACGCGGCGGGCTGCCCGTGCAAATCCGAGGCTCATGGATCCTGGAACCCACTGGCCAGGTCCGGGCCAGGCGCTGTTGCAGGCAGGCAATAGCGCCTGCTACTGGGGCCATGTGCTGAGTGCCTGGCAGCAGGCGCGTCTCCAGCAGCGCTCGTATGGCTCTAGCGCTTCCAGTGGGACAACGTCATCGAATGTAATTCCACACCAAACTGCCAAGTTTGCGTCGACGACTGTCACGAACCCCAAGGTTTCGAACTACTGTTGGCTCGATCTCGATAGGATGCTCCGGTCATTTGGTCTCAAGCCCGATCCTTGCAGCAGATCTTGTGTCGGGCTGACGATTTGCTGCCGTGTTTCTCTATGGCTGGCCGCGTATGAACGTCTTTGATGTCATTACGGCGACCCCGATCTATGCTGCAGATGGCTGGGCAACCGCGGCAAAGACACCCTATGCTATCAAGTCGTGCTCTGTGTGCTTTGCAGGTGATCACGGTGATGTGATGTCTAATGCAGGCAGCCGAGGTGGGGGGGAACCAGGGCACCACGAGTTGGCGATGCATCCGAGTGGACGCTCGCTCCTTTGTACAGCCTGCAGCTATCGGTACTGGCCTCAATGTCTTGTAGGATTCGCCCCTGGATGCTTCGTACGACATCGACGGCGGGATGCCGTTCACCAACCAAGAAAGCGGCCGCGCTGGAGATAGCCTTGCATTCTGCACGTTTGGGTTGAATGGAGGACAACAGACTGCATCGCGGGGTACCGACGCTGCGCATGAACGAGTCCCGTCTATCATGTATCGGTGGCTCCAAATCGGACCCCGTGCCGGCGACTTGCGCGTCTCCTATGCCCTGGCGTCACACTGGCGTTTTCGATTGATGGTGACAGCAGTGATTCACAGCTGGAACGCTTTCACCATGATGAGCTGGTTTTGGGTCGACGCCGATGGATTAACAAGTCGATGCCGAGATCGTCGAAGACGATCCGGATAGCTGAGAGGTTGCTGCATCGCTGCAGGCTGGGCGGCGAGGCGCACTCCAATTCCTACCGCGCGGCTCGTCTCGCCAAAGATGGCAATGGCGACTTGGGCGATCAGGTTCAGCTGGCGGAGCTCCAGCTCGTCCAGCTGCTAGCTCCCCCTGGCGGAGCGGGGGCGCTAATTATCCGAGCCAACACGTGCCTTACGTAAACAGTCATCCGGACACTGTGCGGCAAAACCTGGTGGCCAGCGACTCGCGGGCTCGAGCACCCGGCGTCCCGTCACCTCCAACCACCACCGACTGCATCTCGCCAACGCACCCGACGCCCACGGTTCATCGCCATCCACAGCTCCTCGAGCCATACCGCGCCGAGCTCCGCTTCTGTAGCATCCTCCAGCCCTTCGCACAGCCATCCGCACGTCGCGTCGCCCGCCCACAGCCGATACCATGGCCACTGAACTCTGGTACGTCAGCGCACCTCCCTGGCCAGCGTCGTGAGCTCCGGTCGCATTCGGCCGAGCTACTGGCATCTCTGCGGCCTCGCGCCTCGCGCTTTTGTGCTGCAGCGACATGTTATGAGTAACTTGAAGCTAACTTGAGCGTGCGCAGCCCCGTCTACGCGGTTAGTACTCCTCCGTTCTCAACCATCCACGACGTCACCGAAAACGCAGCACGGGCCCCCCCATTCATCGACGAAACACTTATCGACTCGCGAATCCGAAGCTGACCATCTCGTAGCCCTTCTTTGGTGCCATGGGCTGCACCTCCGCCATTGTCTTCACTTGCTTGGGTGCCTCGTATGGTACCGCCAAGTCTGGTGTCGGCATTGCCGCCATGGGTGTTCTCCGCCCCGACCTTATCGTCAAGAGTGGGCTGCCCCCATCACCTAGACCTCGCACGGGTTCTCGATTCTAACGAAGCGATGCAGACATTGTTCCCGTCATTATGGCTGGTATCATTGGTATCTATGGCCTGGTCGTGTCAGTCCTGATTTCCGACGGGCTGCAGCAGCCGCTGGCGCTTTACACTGGTTTCATCCAGTTTGGTGCTGGTCTCTCCGTCGGCTTGGCCGGTCTCGCGGCCGGTTTTGCCATTGGCATCGTGGGCGATGCTGGTGTCCGAGGAACCGCCCAGCAGCCACGCCTCTTCGTCGGCATGATTCTGATTCTCATTTTCGCTGAAGTCCTGGGTAAGAAGATAACGATTCCGCCGGCCTCTCCGCAGCAAGCTGACAGTTCACCCCAGGTCTGTACGGTCTCATTGTTGCCCTTCTCATGAACTCCAAGGCGACGCAAAACGTTACCTGCAACTAAGGGGATGCGCAAGTCTCGAGGAGACTTGAGGAACAGGCCAGACAATCAACCCCCTCCACACGGTCTTTGTTCCGAGCATGCCAGCGAACTTATCACACGAACAATAGCTTTTTAGCTTGATTTACAGCAACGCGGACAGAAGTTTGAACGGCGGTCGGGAAGGGCGATGGGCAATTGGTGGTGGGCGATGGATCCAGCAGTCACTCGCGGAGGCCGTGTATGTACAATACTGAGAAGCTGAGTGTTGGCCTCGGAGCGGTTTCATTATAGACAGTCGTGGGGATGGAGAATCTAGTGTAACCGAATGTGCATATTATCCTCCATCCCAGGACTGCCATGCAATGCTGTGGCCCAGGTTTAGGTAGCGCGAAGAGCTCATACATTAAGCCTCAAGCGTCAAGTCACGCAGCATTTCTCATCAAGGGCCATAATGATGAACATCCGAAATAATTATATTCCATTACACGTAGTGAGGAGTAAGAGAGCATTCCCTCTGATCCAAGAGGCATTAAGAAGTGGTTGGGCCTATGCACTCCAGGGCGTATTCTCGTTTCATGACACCCTCCCCCCTCTTTTCTATACCGCGACTTCTTGAGCATTAAAAAGGTTGGCAGTATTTTCTTCATTGCCCGTAAGCACATTCATGTGCTGTCGCGGCATTGGAAGTATGTACCGAAGAAGACGGAGATTCCTCCCCGCGGACACGGACAGGATGGCTGTGGGCGTACCCGCGCATCCTTAGATGACGTACTAGAAGAAAAGTTAGCATTGCAGTGGACTTGATGGGACTTTCGTCGAGTACGCACAGGAATGAACAGGTACGGGACGCGTCGCTCGTACTCGCGCCAGGCCTCGCCGTACTTGGTACGGCAGCGGGTGATGTCGCGGCTCGCTCGGTGAGCAATCATGCAGACGAAGAAGAGCGGGTAGAACCACGGGAAGGGGCTCCTGCAGATACAATATTAGCAATCGGTTGATATTTGGTGTGTTGGCGCGTGCCCGACGTACTTGAAGCCAGTAATCAAGCCCCACGAGATGGCGAACCAGGTATCGGCCGTGTAGTGAATCTTGCGAGCCAGACCGTACCAGCCGTCAACGAGGATGGTGCCCTGCGGCGTCTCAATCGTCTTGGGGTTGTGCAGCGTCTGCCAGGGAACCTGAGGAAAGCTCTTGCGGAAGACGAGCTTGCCCTTCTCCATGGCGCGGAAGCGGTTCTTCTGGCTGTTGCAGCTGTCCCACACCCAGTACCAGAAGAGGTAGGCGGCGAACATGGCAGCCAAGGCGAAGCGGTTCCAGTGGTACTCGGACGGGTGGTGATTAGCCAGGTATATGGTGCAGTGGCAGTACGACAGGGGAACGCCGGCCAAATTCCAAAAGATGAGCATGAAGCCCCACTTCTCGTAATACATGTCCCAGGTGGTGATGATGAGCTCCTCGCCCTTGGCGCATGCGTTGGCATACAGGTAGTGGGCCATGACGAGGAACCAAACCTCGCCAGACACGTAGCCGTAGCGCTCGTACTGCCGAGCGGCGGCGCCCAAGCTCAGGATGAGCAGGAAGTACCAGGGCATGCGGACCTCGAAGAACATCTTGAAGTCGAGGATTCCGAACATGCGGGGGTTCAGCTCAGCGCCCATGAAGAAGTCATAGATGACGTGGCCGGTCATGCGGTGCTGCTTGCCCCTGTAGATGGCAGAGACGTAGGCGACGATGCTGACGAGGAAGCCGCTCAGAATGGCAACCGACAGAAGGGGGCCAAACTCGTCAATGGCCTGGTACAGCTTCCAGATGCCGCTGAAGTGGAGGACGGCGAGGATGGCGAGGGTGAAGTAGAGATTGACGTAGGCGTTGCAGTAGTACTTGAGCTGCTTGCCGTTCTCATGCGGCAGAGGCTTGCCCCAGCCCCAGACGCCGGGCAGGAGGCAGTAGCAGGCACCCTGGAAGATGAGGTAGGACCAATACCAGGCCCAGGCCTTGAGGTGGGGGAACGCGCCGGTGTAGACGAGGTTGACGAGATGGGCGGCGAACTGCGGCCAGGTCTGGCCAGGCGTCCGCGTGGGAAACTTGCCGTCGTAGTAGGTCGCGCCGATCCACATGTACCACATGAGGACGGGGAAGAAGAACATGAGGAACGCGGTGCCCAGGGAGCCGCCGAACTCGAACTCGCCAGAGTAGTCCTTCTTGGGGTCCTGTCCGAGCCGCCAGCCGTCAACCACGTTGGGGTCGACAGAGACGCCGGCCTTGACCTGCGACTTCTCCTTGGCCGAGCCATTAGTGGCCTTGGCCGCGCCGTTGGCGGCCTGGGGCGCGCTGGTGTGGCCGTTGGTGGCGGGCGCGGGCTTCACGGGCTGCTGCTGCTCATCCTCCTCGTCGAGGTGCTCGGAAAACTTGGCCGTGGTGCGCCGACGGATCGATCGCGAGCGGGTGGACGTCTCGGCGGCCGAGCTGGAGTCGTTGTCTTGGTCAGACAGCTCGGGAGGGAAGGAGGATTGGCGACGCGACGAGCGCCGCGACGCAGTCGGAGTCTCGATCATGCCGTCGAAGAGTTCCTTCTTACTGGGGCGGGCGTTAGAAGACGAGACGAAGAGGCAGCAGGGCTACAACTAGGACGCGCAACGGATCCGGAAGTCTGTGCAACGTACCGAGGCGTCTGTCGTAGCGAATATCTCGACATGGCGGCTGTGGCGGCGCGCTCGCCGTTTAATACGTCGCACGAGAAGGGGCGAACAAGAATAAGAATACGAAAAGGGTCACCCAGCGGAGCACAGCTGGACCGAAAAAAAGCAAGCCCAAGCCACGGGGTGACGAATCGCAGGACCAAAAGGAGGAAAGGGCGGCAGCAATTGGCGGTCCGGAGAGCCCCAAGGTCCGGTGTCTCAAGGTGAAAAACCGAGAGGAGAGTCCGTGGGAAGCGCGGCGACGGGACGTAGGATGGTGAAGGTGGGAAGGTGGGTGAGGGTGGCCTCTTTTTTTGGTGGAGAGCGCGGGCGGCCGCGCGTGTTACGCTATTGGCGTGCGCTGGGGGGGGGAGGCCGGCGGCCTGGGGGGGCAATGGGACGCGGGAGTGGGAATTGTTGACGGGACGATTCGCCGGTGGCTCAGGGGCTCGAGGGGCGCTTGCTCGGTTTTTTTTTTCTCTCGGGCTGCCGTGTCTCTGGGTGGCCGGGCAGGTGAGAGTGGGTGCTGGCGCCGTCGGCTGGTCGGGGCGCGTGGGGGACTTTCCATTGGGGGGGAGGGAGCCGAGCTACAGAAAGAGCCCAGGAACACGACTCTTCACTCTTCACCATGGCGGGACGGACTGGCGCTAGCTTGGTCCAGAGATGCGCAAACGAAATGACTCGAGAGCGAGCGCGCATGGACTGTACTGTACCGCACGTACGATGAACACGCCGCCACGGACGCCGGGCGCTTTGCAGACCTATTCACTCCGAGAGTGCGGGTTCAGCAACGGGATCCCCTCTGCGACCCAACTAAAAGGCACGCTGCATCCACCTCGGCCTTTCGGACGTTGCGATTCCCGTTCGAGCATGACGCGGGCCGTCTATAATACTCGTACATATGCACTTCGTACGGGACGACGCATGTTTGATCTGCTCGGCACGTAGCGTCGCCCGCCGCCGGGTTGAACCTGGTCGGCCTGGACATGCTCTTCTCCCCGCTAGGGTGACCGCAGCTTTCGCAAGGACCCGCGCGCTGCAAAGAAATGCTCGACAAGCAATGTCGCGATGCTTCGTTTCTGCAGCGGCCGCAATATTCGTCCCGGGATCGATCTGATGCTCGACCGGCGTTGGTGCTGGTGGACACATGGCCCCTTGCAGCGGCAGTTGGCCTCGCACCTGGGAATCTGTCAGGGCCGAAAGCCAGCAAACACGCCGCAGCCCGGGCCAACGATACAACAAGGCACGTACGTCATCGAGAGCATCCCGGTCGCAGGCTCAAAAGTTGAAACAGCCCCGGAACCTTGTCAGTGTTCTTCTTCGTTTCGCGTGTCAGGATCCAGCCTCGTTGCTCTTTGATTCCTCAACCTCGCAGCGACTGCGACTCTGCCCGCGACCCCGTGGTGGCCGCCGCCTGTCACCTGCTCACTCTCCGTAACATGCGGGTGGCCCTCATATTATTACACCACCCAGCCTGGGCTCAGGTGGTTAGGTGGCTCTAATTTTGAGCTGGCCCTGTCGAGCACACCAACAATGGCACGCGGCTGTCTGGTCGAGGCAGTCAGCTTTCGCGCCAGTCAAGCCTCCATGGCAAATGCGCTGGGCAGCTTTATTAGTTAGCGGCTGCCCGCCAAAACTCTAGTGGGGCCTCCCGCCCAGCCAAATCAGGGTCACTGGACCAAGGCGTCACCTCCTGTGTCCAACTTTCTGCCATTGTGTCGTATAGCTTTCAAATCACACGGCATCTCCGTGACGTGCATTTTCACAATCTTGTCTTCGCCCCAGTCCGATCCGACGCAGTCAGGCCACGGCACTTGCTTGCGTGCCAATTCCCACGACGTTGCGAGCAAGACGCGACGCGAGCCGAAGGCACCCTGAGTAGCTATCTGCTCTCCCTTCAGCTAGGTCTCCAAACATCCAGACCAACGCCACCTTTCTTCCTCGACGCCGACGCAGTTCGCGCGCGCCCGACACCGTTCCAAGGCAACGCACAGCTGTTCTGCCACTGATTGCCCACCGGATTACCTCTCGCTGCGACGTCTCCCCAGCATGCTGCGTCGGAAGTGCCTGTCGCAGGGACACATTTAGAGGAGCTGCTGCTGCTCGTGCCCCCCTTTCGATATAGCCAGCCGACATCACATCATGGGCAGAGATCATCAGGACGACTCGGTGTCTCCGCTAACGCGGACGCCGCAGCTTTCGCCATCGGCAAGCGCATCACAATCCGCCCTCGCTCTATCAGCCTCCAAGTCCGACTCCCTGCACCCTCCCTCGATCACCGCTCCGAGCCAACAACCCGGCGACCTCAAGCGTGCCACGAGTGCGCAGGCACAAGCGAACGGAGCGCCTAAAGATGGAGAAGGGGTCTCGAGCGGCCCCGAGAATGGCGGGATGTCGGAGCTGCGGCTCGAGGTTCCTCGAATCGCGCAGCCCAGCGGCCAGCGAGACAGCGATGGAGCGCTCTCCCCGGCCTCCGAGGCGACTGCCACGGCGCCGCCCTCGATCTCTGGCAGCAGAAGCGTTCAATTCGCCAGGCCGGACGCTTTAGAAGAGTCTATACCAGCGCCTTCGCACACGCGTCATGGCTCTTGGGATGGGCCGGAAACCCCAGGAAAATCTCGAAGTGCCTCCTTCATGTCCAAAATCAAGGCCTTGGCCAGCCCTCCAGCCCAGCACATGCCCAGGATGCTCAACACGCCCGCGGCGTCTTTCGAGAGCGGATCGCAGTCCTTGACCAACTCGCCCACGGCCGCTCGTTTTGGTACCCGACTTCCCGATACCCTTGTGGAGGAACACTCTGATGCCGACGCCGACATTGAGGAAACCGCAGATGAATCTAACATCCCGGAACAGGGTACTTCAAAAAAGAAGAAGCGCAAGATGAAGCGCTTCAAAAAGGGACACACCCCCACGCCTTCCATAACCCGTTTCCCCACCGAGCTGGACGCACTTGGCTTAGGGAGCCGCCTCCTACGGCGTCGAGCAAGCATGCCCGACACTTCTGCGCACGACCAGGCCATGTCCGAAGGCGATGCTCGGGATCAGATGCGACGCCGGCCATTCCGAAGAGGTCATTCCTATGCAGAGCCCATGGCGCGGCCGCCGGTGGACGACATGGACGACTTGGAGGATTCTGCGGTGGTCGGGCGACGTACGGGCCACTTGCGTCGCATCACCGTCTTTGGCGGAGGCGGTGTATCGGATGGTGATGCGATGACACCCCGCAGGCCATTCTTCAACTCGGAGCGTGCGTCCAACTTCGGCGCCCAAAAGTGGAAACAGGTCAAAAGCACGCTCAAGCTCCTCCGGCAGAAAAAAGAGGATCGCTTCGACTACTACAAGTCTGCAGAGCTGATGGCAGAGTTGCGAGCAGGCGCTCCCGCGGTCCTGATGCTAGCGAGCATGATCCAGCGAGATGAACATGGGAATAAGAGAATCCCGGTGCTCTTGGAGCAGCTCAAGCTGCGCATCAAGGACAGCGCTCCCATGCCCGACGACGACAAGGAACGCCACTGGATCTTCACCATCGAGCTCGAATACGGCAGCGGCCCTAGCCGCATGAGCTGGATTGTCATCCGGACCATCAGAGACATCTACAACCTCCATTTCCGCTACAGGTTCGCTCTGAATAACGACAAGTACATGCCGGGCCGCCTGGACCTCGGCGCCCGACCAAAGCAACCAAAATTCCCGTATTCCGCGTTCCCCTACCTGCGTCGAGCCCGAGACAAGAGCGACTCGAGCGACGACGAGGAGCAGGCCAGTGCCCGCGGCGACGACACCGCAGGTGAAGGTACAGCCGGCGAAGGCATTGCAGATGATGGTCAGTACCACCCGCGGCGAAAGAAGTCGCGGGCAAACCTGTGGGGCATGCGACGGCGCTCAACTGGCTTTACGGATCCCGGCGAGGGCTCGAATGCCGAGGGCGGGCAAGCGGCGTTGATGGACATGATGACTCGCAGACAGCGCTACGTGGAGAAGCAACGGCGCACGCTGGAAAAGTACTTGTCTGAGATGATTCGCTGGCTCATGTTTCGAGCTGACAGCAACCGCCTCTGCCGATTCTTGGAGCTGTCAGCCCTCGGAGTGCGCCTTGCCGCAGAGGGCAGCTATCACGGCAAAGAGGGCTACCTGCACATCCAGTCTTCCAAGGGACTGGACTTCCGCCGCGTGCTGACACCTGCAAAGGTCATCGCCCGACACACTCGCAAGTGGTTTCTGGTGCGGCAGAGCTACATTGTGTGTGTCGAGTCGCCGGAAAACATGAACATCTATGACGTATACCTCGTCGACTCCAAGTTCAGCATCGTTTCTAAGCGGAATCCGCTGAAGCAGATGACGTCCAAGGACAAGCAGTCAGAAATCGACCTGACGGTGGAGGCGCCTCCAGACAAGCACCATACCTTGACGCTGCACACATCCGAGCGCAAGGTCCGACTCTTTTCGCGCTACCAGTCGGTCATGAGACAGTTTGAGGAGTCAATCAACGAGATGCTGCGACAGACGCCTTGGTATGAACAAAAGCGCTTCGACAGCTTCGCCCCAGTCCGGACCGGCGTGTTTGCGCAGTGGCTTGTGGACGGCCGCGACTACATGTGGAACGTGTCTCGAGCTATTAACATGGCCAGGGACGTCATCTACATCCACGACTGGTGGCTGAGCCCTGAGCTGTACATGCGGCGTCCAGCTGCCATCAGCCAGAAGTGGCGACTCGACAGGCTGCTGCAGAAGAAGGCCCGCGAGGGTGTCAAGATCTTCGTCATCGTGTACCGAAATGTCGAGGCAGCCATTCCCATCGACTCCGAGTACACCAAGTTCTCGCTGCTGAACCTGCATCCCAACATATTCGTCCAGCGGTCGCCCAACCAGTTCAAGAAGAATCAGTTCTTCTTCGCGCATCACGAAAAGATTTGCGTCGTCGATCACGACGTCGCCTTTGTGGGCGGCATCGATCTTTGCTTCGGCCGTTGGGACTGCCCGCAGCATCCTATCGTGGACGACAAGCCGACTGGCTTTGAGATGACGGAGCAGCCAAAGGATGCAGAGCATTGCCAGCTCTTTCCCGGCAAGGACTATTCGAACCCCCGAGTGCAGGACTTTTTCCGACTGAACGAGCCGTACGAGGAAATGTACGATCGAAGCAAGGTCCCGAGAATGCCGTGGCACGACGTGGCGATGCAAGTCGTCGGACAGCCCGCGCGAGACCTGACGCGCCACTTTGTGCAGCGCTGGAACTATCTTCGCCGTGGGCGGAAGCCAACTCGCCCGCTGCCCTTCTTGTTGCCGCCTCCGGACGCCAAGTTCGACGAGCTCGAGGCCCTCGGTCTGACGGGTACCTGCGAGGTCCAGATTCTGCGTTCGGCAACGACGTGGTCGCTGGGCACCGACGGCACGGAGCACAGCATCCAGAACGCCTACGTGAAGATGATTGAGGATTCGGAACACTTCGTCTACATTGAGAACCAATTCTTCATTACCAGCACGGAAGCGTACAACACCAAGATCGTGAACCGGATCGGAGACGCGCTCGTCGACCGCATCATCAGAGCCCACGAGAACGACGAGGATTGGCGCTGCGTCATTGTCATCCCGCTCATGCCGGGCTTCCAAAACACCGTCGACGAGCAGGAAGGAACGAGTGTCCGACTGATTCTCATGTGTCAGTACAAGAGCATATGCAGAGGCGAGCAGTCGATATTTGGCCGGCTTCGGGCGGCGGGCATCGAGCCCGAGGACTACATCTCTTTCTACTCGCTCCGACAGTGGGGCATCATGGGCAACGACGCCTTGGTGACTGAGCAGCTCTACATCCACGCCAAGGCAATTGTGGTTGATGATCGAGTGGCACTTATCGGGTCCGCCAACATCAACGAGCGGTCCATGTTGGGAATCCGCGACTCGGAATGCGCGGCCATCGTCCGGGATACCGACATGATCTGGTCCACCATGGCCGGCAAGCCTTACCAGGTCGGACGCTTTGCGCACACCCTTCGCCTGCGACTGATGCGAGAACACCTCGGTCTGGACGTGGACGAGATCTTGGAGGAAGAGCGCCAGCAAGAGATGGATCGCGAGGCATTCGAGCAGGAGATGGAGGCCATCTACCAAGAAGACCCGCTGAATCCGGATGGCTCTGGCCCAAGCTCTGGTCGCCGCGAGAGAGCGCAAACACATCGACGTCCTTCGTCTCGAGCGCCGAGCTTCAACCGAGATCTCGACATGGACATGGCCCAAGCAATCCACGACGGTGAACCGTTTGAAAAGGGCAAGGAGACCTCGGACAGTCGTGTGACGAGTGAAAAGCACGTTCTGGATGTGTCTGGTTACGGGCCAGACCACTGGAAGAGTGCCGGCCAAAGCGGCACTGACCAGGGCCGCGACTCAGTCATTGTCAGCGGGCGTGAGGTGCTCGTGCATGACATCGACACGTCGGGCAAAGGGGCGTTGGAGTCCCCGAGGCCACCGCACGACACGGTTCCGCCACCAGAGAACCGCTATATAGAACCTAGCGGAGGGGGCAACGCTGCCATACCGCCGACGCCCTCCCTCACCCGCCGAAACACGGAGCAGCTGGGCATGCCTCGTCCGGCGCAGCTTCCTCCACTACCGGTCGAGGACGATACGGATATTGGAGGGCCACCTGTGCATCTTGACCCCGTTTCTGGCCACCCGATTAATAGTGCGTTCCACCCTATGGCGGCCGATATCAAATGCGTCGACATCACCAAGGACTGCATGCGCGACCCGGTGAATCCAAATTTCTTGGATGAGATCTGGAACAAGGCTGCGATAAACAACACCAAACTGTATCGCAGGGTCTTCCGCTGCATGCCAGACTCCGAGGTGAGCACCTGGACCGAATACCGCGAGTATACAGAATACAGCGAAAGATTCCGTGCGAGCATGGAGGGGAAAAACACTGGCGAAGAGTCCGAGATGAAGCGCGAGACGAACTTGCAGCACACATCGACCGCGGCTGGTGCGGGTGTCAGCGCTCCAGGACCCGAAGCAATAGTTCAAGCTGCGAAACAGGGAGTGGAGAAGATTCCCGAGAAACTGGCAGAAAAGCTGCCTCTATCAGATCAGAACCAGGACAAGGTCATCGTGCCGGGGGCAGGCGAAACCGAGCTGGACGAGAAAGCGGCTCTGCAGCAAGAGAACCAAGGCTCGAATCCACGCGGGCCGGCCAATCTGAACACAGCCGTCAAGGCAGTGGCGGAGAATCGCGTCGAGGCGCCCTCCCCCGTGTACCCACCTGGTGATACTGCGTTCCCTGCGCTGGAGACAACGCCTACGAAACCACTCGACCGCCAAGCTGCCAAGAACACTGAGCGCAAGACGACGTTCTCCGGACTGGAAAAGCCGCCGTCGAAGGAAGGCAAGGACTTCAGCGCGCCGCCTCCGGGACAAAACGGATCCATCAAGCGTCGCCGCCGTGGTACTACAAAGGGTAGCAGGCGCACCTTTAGCATCGAGGATATGCCGTCTCGCGCTGATGCCGAAGAGCTGCTGAAAATGGTGCAAGGCAACCTGGTCCAATTTCCATATGACTGGCTCCTCACCGAGGACCAGAATGGTAACTGGGGCTTCCAGGTCGATGGCGTTGCCCCCTTGGCAATCTAGTAAGTTGTCCGCATACCTTTGACAGAAGATACACGAAATTAACGCGCGCAGTAATTAAATCCTTCATAACGGGAGTCAGCAACATCTTGGTTGGAACATGGGCCGATTGCGCAACACGTCATCAAATTGTTAGCAAGCATGGCAAGGAGTTAGGTGGCGGGCGACATTGTCGGAGCACGGCGTCATGACTCATTATGATTTTTCCCTCTTTCCTATCATCAACGTTTTATTCGCATGGAGCAGCATAGACTCGCTTGTAATGGAAGGCTAGGTATTCTATTTTACATTGTTCCACAGTGTAGTGTACACGCATGTCCTCAAGTAGCCTGTTGCTATTCATACACGCTCGCTAACCCAGATGGCGCCTCGGCAGCCAGCTCTTATAACGCCTGTCAAGAGCCAATGCGGCTCTGCCTTCTTGGCGTCGTGCTCGACGGCGTGATCCAGGTGCTCGAGCTCCTCGTCACGTATCCTCCGTAGTGTGGAAACGAGCTGCCGTATCTCGTCTCCAACTTCGTAGCCCTCGGCCTCCCAGCCGGTAATCATCTCGAGCAGGACGCGAATCTGGTTATTGTAGTGGCCGCCGATCTCGGTCTCGACGGCCTCGGTGCAGGCCATGGCGGCCTCGCGGCCCATGACAGCGGTGGACCAGCCGAGCCCGGTGGCGAGGACAGACCAGATCGGGTACAGAGCCGTGGGCCGGACGCGGTGCCGCCGGATAAGCTCGTTGAAAGTATCGAAGTGGCCGACCTCCTGGTCGTACATGTGCTTCATGAGGGGACGGAGGTGCGGGTGTTGGCGCACCAGCGGCGGCGTCTGGGCAGTGTAGATGAGGGTGGCGGCGAGCTCGCCGGCCTGGTTGACGCGGAGCTGGAACGGCTGTGAGCAATCTGAACCGTTGCATGATTCGGCGTCAAGCCTTGGGGGAGGGAGAACGAACAGCAGAGGCGAGAAACTCGCGTTGTTCCTTGGTGAGCGGCTTGCGCTTCTTCGGGGAGGAGCTCGGCTCGGTCGAGGTCGCAGCTACGGCGCCGGACGGTGCGGTCGTCGAGAGCGCGCGCGCCTGTTGAATGCAGATTGGCCTTCTGGGAAAGCACCGGGCGGCGCGTGCCGCGCTCCGTGTTGGAAGCATGGCGGCGCAATCTCGTTGTGCGGTTTGCAAGCTTGCGCTTCTGGTACCAGCATGTGCCGTTGAGAGCAACGGCGCAAATCGAACGATTCGCGATTCACAGGGCCCGCTGGCGGTGGTGCATGACGCCCATTAACACTGGTAGGCCGGGAGCCCCACCGATTGGCCTCCCAGCCAATGGTCGCGGCCGGACAAAGAATTCGCCGCGCAGATGGTCCCAATTGGGTTCGGTTCAGCCAATGGGCGGCCGGTAGGCACAGTAGAGCACCGCAGAGAGCAGCAGGTCCGCTGGAGCGCGCAACTCAGACTTCGACTTGCCCCCAGCACACTTCACTTCTTCGCCTGTCACCTCACCTCACCTTTGCTCGATCACAACCCCGCGCCCTCGGCTATCTGCTGACGCGAGCCGTCGTATCTGCTTGTCGCTCGCGGGAAACCTCCATCGGGCAGCCGCTTGCTGTGAACATCAACCCGCGCGGGACGCATCCGCAGCCGCAGCTCTCCTAGGGGCTGATCTCGCACCGCTCCCCTTTTGCTCAGAGCGAGGCTTTTTGCTGCACCCGACCGGCGACCCAACCGAGCGGCTTTCATCATGGCCGACATCGACGACGAGCTCCTTGCCCTCGCGGGCGGTGACTCGGAGGATGAGGGCTCCGTCCGCTCCAGCAGAGGGCCCTCGGCGTCGCCGCCGCCCAGGGACTCGGGCAAGTCCAAGAAGGCGAAACGCGCGTCCAGAGGCGATGAATCCGAGGAAGAGGGTGAAGCGTAAGTTGGCAATTTTCCTCATCGTCTGCTGCTCGGCGGAAGACCTGCCGCGGGGCTTGACTACAACCCAGGGGCGCGTCGCGATATCTGTTGTGAATCCGGTTGCTGACGCTAGTTTTTTACCCCGTCATCAGGCTCTCCACGGCATCATCACCAAACTCCCTCGAATCAGCACCAATGGACGAGTCGGACTCGGACGACGAGCAGCCCTCTCGTTCTCGCGCCGCCGCGTCTCGTGGCGGTGATGATGACGACAAATACCCTGTCGATGGCATGTTCATGAGCCAGACCGAAAAGGCGGAGATTATGGCTCTCCGTGAGGTCGAGCGAGAACAGATCATCGCAGATCGTATCTCTGAGATTGAGCGGCAGCGCCAGAACCGCTTGCTGCGACAGATGGTTACGACGGTTGAGAACGAGGAGCGCAAGACTGTCAAGAAGAAGCGGACCGCCGACACCGCCGAGCTCGAGGATGACGACCGCAGGTCGTCTCGTCCGCGCACCGGCAAGCCGGCTGAGACGGCCATGGACTCGCTCCGCCGTGCCAGAGCCGAGAAGCAGAGGCGGAAGGAAGACCACGAGCGCCGAAAGGACTACTCGCCCAGACGGGACTCTCGCGAGCCCGAGAGCGATGACGACTTTGGACGCGCCCGAAGTCGGACGCCTGAGAAGGAACTTGACAAGGAACTCCCCCCGCCGGAGCTTAAGGACTACGAAAAGGTGCGAGTCGGTCGAAATCAGTTCTCTCAGGTGTGCCAGACGCCCGGTTTCGAGGCTGCCATTACGGGATGCTACATCCGTGTCTCGGTTGGCGCGCATCCGGAAACGGGTATCGACCAGTATCGGATGGCGTTGATCAAAGGTAAGCACAGTTCTCGCAGTTGCAGATCGATGCAGAGCTGACACGCGCATGGTAGGCTTCACGACCGGTAGGCCCTATGCGATTATGAGTCCTAATGGAGCTTTTATTACGGACCAGTACGTGAAGGCGGCACACGGCAAGGCAATTAAGGAATTCCCCTTCATTGCCGCCTCTAGCGGAAAGTTTAGCTCGGTGAGTCTCGGTGTGCTTGTGACGTGACGACGAATCTCTGACTTTATGCAGGCCGAGCTCAACCGCTACCAAATTACGTGCAACAACGAAGGCGTCACCCTGCCCAAGCGCGAATTCCTGTGGGACAAGGTCGATGCCATCAATTCACTCCTTAACCATGTCTGGACGGGTGAAGAAATCAAAGCACGACTGGCCAAGCGCAACGAGTTCAAGCGCCAATTCGACCCCGCAGAGCGCGAACGTGTTGCTCGGTTGCTTGACGAGGCTGTCTCGAGAGGCGATGAAGAGGAGGCAGACAGACTACAGCAGGAACTTGACAAGCTCAGCAAGCAGCGTCTGGCGTTCAAGACGACTCTCGGGCCGTCAAAGCTGACGGACACGGCGGCCACTTCTTCGGAGCAGGACTGGCTGGCTGAGCGAAACCGAGAGAACCGACGCATGAACGCCGAGCTAGTCCGCAAGGCGCAGCTCAAAGAGAAGGCCAAAGCGCGCGAAGTGGAAAGGGCTATCAGCCGAGGCGAGGCGGTGCCCGACGACCCATCTCGACGGCTGCGGACAAAGGCCAAGTTCGTGCACGACGTCAACTCGACCCCCCAGAAGCCCTCGCAGAACGGTAGTGCCGCGAGCACGCCGGCCAACGGAGGCACACCCAAGGTGGCGCCTACGAAGCCGCAGATGGCGTCCCACCTGGCTAAGCTGCAGGAGAAGAAGTACGAGGAGAGCAAGGGCCTCCCCATGATCCACAAGCCACTCATGGATGACGACGTCATTGGAGCGCTTGACCTGGATATTGATGTCGAGATTTGAGCCTTGACGGGCTGTGTTTCGTTGGAAGTGACGTTGGGCGTTTTGCTGCGGGTGTGCACGGGTCGCCCGGCACGGCGTTGATTTGCATGAAAGGCGTTTCGGCTGCGAGTTGGGCTTGGGGTCGTCTTCTAGGAAGCAGGAAGCGAGAGGACGACTGGGGTTGTTGCACAGAGACGAGAGGCGACGTGTGTGTATATTAGAAGAGAGGAGCTGCCCCGACGGCAGCAGAGTCGATAGACAGCGACTCGAGTACAAAACAAGCTGGTAACTTAGTCCAACCACCACGGTCCGATGACCCAAAGCTTTGTCTACTTTATTCATGTGTGTTCTGTGACCCTTTATGCTGCTTCGCCCCTGGGCCCAAGTCCATCTCATCTCAGTCTCTCTTGTCTACGGGAGCGCGCTCGTGCATGTAGTCGAGCTTGTTCTGCCAGAAGCGGCGATAGACAAACATGCACTTGAAGAAGAGCTGGCGGGCGATGACGTGCATGACGAAGCGCACCGTCTCGCGCGCGGTGGCGGGCCGGGTAGGCCGGGTCCTGCCGTCGAGCTGGTCCTCGAAGCGGCGGCAGACGGCGAGGTAGAGCTTGGGGTCGTCTGTGATGACGCCGTCGACGAGCCTGGGGCCCAGGAGGGTGGCGGCGTTGGCGGCGGCGTTTTGATCCTGTGTCTGCGACTTCTTGGGCGTGGGCAGGCTCGTGTTCTGGCGGATGCACCACTCCATGCCGCGCTCCGTGTTGACGGTCCAGACGAAGAGGGAGCGGCCGCGGGCGCGGAGGGCGCGCATGAAGGCGCGGCCGCGGAGGGGCGCGAGGAGGGCGGCCTGGGCCATGTTGAAGGAGAGGCCCGGAACGGGGAGGAAGTGGCGCGCGTAGGAGAGGGAGTAGCCGATGTGGGCGAGGGTGAAGGCGGGGAGGGTCTCGCTGGCGGCCTCGATGAGGGCGGCCTGTACGAAGTCACAGTGACAGATGGTCAGTTTCCCCAACGAACTCGCTTGGGTATAGTACTTTGAGGGTAGTGGGAAGCAAGGGGATGGTGGCGTGGGGGGGGAAACGTACGTTCCAGCAGCCGAGCAGGAGGCGGTTCTCCCAGGGGATGGCGCTGGGGGGGACTTGCGATATGGCGGCGGCGATGGCGCGCATGAGCTGGCGGGGGTCGTCGTCGATCTGCTCCGCCGTCTTCGGTCAGTGTTTGCCTCTATCTCGCGGTCCGGCGTGGTAGTCTGATCATATAAGGTCAGGGCGGCGCGGGGGAGGTTCACCTTGATGTCAAGCAGGATCCAGAGCTTAGCCCGCGTCTGCGCCTCGTCGTCGCTCTCCTTCTCGTCGCCGTCACCAGCGTGGCCATGTCCCTGTCCCGGCCCGGCGGCAATCCAGGCGAGGAAATCGCTGAACCTGATCATGCGCTGGGTCGGGTCGCGCAGCATCCTGAGCGTCGAGAGGTACGCCCAGTCGCAGTCGCTGATCTTCTTGTCGATGCCGAAGCAGCGCTTGAGCGTGGGGTCCTGAGGCCACAGAGGTTAGCTTTCCATCTCTCTGTCGTTCTCTCCGTCTCTCTTTCTCTCTCTCTCTGTCTGGATCCTCTCGACGATGAATGGGAAGCGGGATGAGAGGCGGGATCAGAGGCGAAACCCACATGAGAGATGACGGCGACGCCGTCGGCCGAGAGGTGCACGTCCGTCTCGATGGCGTGGGCGCCGACGCGCGCGGCGGCGCGGAAGGCGGCCATCGAGTTCTCCGGGTAGGCGGCCTTGTAGCCGCGGTGGGCGATGGCCTGGGGGATGCGCCGCGAGGGGTCGCGCGATGAGACGAGGGCGGCGGTCCATGCCGGTGGTGACGACGACGACGGGGGTGATGTCGCTGTCGATGTTGGTGTTGACGACGTTGTCGACGACGATGATGATGATGATGCTGGGCAGCGGGTTAGATTCGATCATCGGGGACGCCCTCGCAACTTAACACGGATGAAGAACGCGTGCGTGCGTGCGTGCGTGTGTGTGCGCGTGCGGGCATCGTATGTTTTTTTTATAAGTCCATGTGTATATTACCGTGAGATGGGTAGTCCACGTCGGACAGCAGCAGCGGCTCCTTCTCATCAGCCATTTTGGTCGCTGTACGAAGTAGAAAATCACAATAATATCGCCAGAAGAGAGAAGGCTGGATTCAAATATGCAAAAGAAAAGAAAGAAAACAAGCGCTGGATCGTGTTGATGGTTATTATGATGGGTCGACGACGGAAGGAGAGGGAGAGGGAGAGAGTTTCTGCGACCCCCCGGATCGGACGGTTGACACGGCGCGCCAGCGAATGCGGAGATGGGGGCTTGTGGAGGTGTCGCCACGCCATTCGCCGCCCCCCTCGTCGATCTCGCTTGTTGACCGTTCATCTCCAAAGGTAACTGCACAGGCTGGTTGGGTTCCTGGAATCCTCAGCTGGAATTGTCCAGTCACAATAGGCTTTGCGGACAACGACGCAGGTTCGGGGTTTCGACACCGAGGGCGACATCGGCACGGCACGCTCATCCGGTGCAAAAGTCTCCAGAACTACAAAAGTGCTACAAATACTGTACAGTACCAACAGCAGGACCTGGTCTGGTGCATGCCAACGCGAGCCGGCCGGGTCCCACGGGCACGATTCCATACCGCCTCGTTGCTTGTTTGCCCGCCCCGCGCTCTGCCACATGGAGAGGCGTTGTTTGGGTTCGTCTGGTGTCAGGTGGCCCCCCAGCCCAGCCATGTGCCACACCGTCGAGGTGGCGGCGGCAGCTCTCCAACGGTTCTGTCTCACGAGGCCAACGGCTGCAGGCGAAGGGACGTCTGTACGAGGTACAGTAGGTAGGGTCCGTATTGGGTATCACTATTTCCACTCAATGTAGGTTTATAACGGCGTGCAATGTTGGCCGAAAGCGGGGACGCATCCAGCTAGTTATTAACTAATATAGACACTCAGTTGAGACCGTCACACGAAGTAACATTCGTCGACAAACTCCATTCGGACGGTGCCCACACCTGAAGTTGCTGCTTTGCAACACTACATGTACTGTAACAACCTGTTGATGTGAACAATGTAGTCACATGATTCCCGGATGTTCTTGTCCTGAAGTCATGTCCTCGAGCCACGAAAAGATTTCCTCGACCTCCTGCTGCACGTCGATGCCTTCCTTCCACCTTGCGCGCTCACGAGCCTCAATCTGCTGGAGCGTTTCGCCCTGGGGAAAGTCGACCAGGTTATTCTCAAGTATATACAGCTCAACGGAGACGGGAAACGTGTCGTGCCGGGACCGGACCACGCGGCAGGACCCATCGGCGTCTTCCACGCAATGGTACTTTTGACGCGCCCGGCGACATATCGCCATGGGCGCATCGTGCTGGCCTGGACTCGTAAAGTGTCTCTCATCGTTTTCGTACAAAGGGTGGAGGTGAGGCAGATGAGCTACGAGAGTCAGGTGCGGGAGAGCTTCGCCGAGGGATTTGATGGGCGCCATGATGGCGCGCTCGCTGACGACGGACCAGGACGATGGGTCTGTGTGGTCGAGTTCGACGTCGAGTTTCCGCAGGCGCGGGAGTCTTGTCACGGCCGGCCATGCGCGCCTCCAAAGGCCCGCCTCCTCTGTGGAGTTGTTGAAGCCTGCATCGGGCTCCAGAGCCCGACACGTCTCGAGTGGAAGCCTCAACGTTACGAATAGCTCGTGCAGGCCCTTGGCGATGCAATCGCTGAGGCCGTCCCACGAGCCGTCGCCCTGCTTGGAGGTTAGGCTTAGGCAGTTGAGCGTGTTCAAGTCAGCGACGTGGAAAACGACGGTGTCTGCCAAGTACTGGACCACATCACGGTACCTGCTCGGCCCCGTCATGTCAGTGTACGTCCACCCTGGTCGTGCATGCACGGAATGAATGATGCTCACTCCGCCACCCACTTACAGTCGTCTCGACGCGTAGAGCAGCCCCGAAAGGTGGCCGATGCCGCCGCCTTTGCGCGCCTCGCAGTTCCAGTGCGGCCCCCACGAAGATGCAAGTCGCCGCGCCCAGACGACTTCCAGCGAGGGGACGCCGGTGGCTCGGCGTTCGTACCCGTCGTCTTGGGAGCTCGGGTTGCGTGTGACGCAATCGCAGAGACTGAGCTTCCCGTCTTGGAGGAACAGGTGCATTTCGCCGGCGACGATATAGCTGTATATCCATCGCCGGATTTCCGTCGGCATCTGGCACAATCCAAGTCGCAGCTGGGGACTCATCGTCATGGCTGCAGTCAGGCTTCTGTTGCGGCCGGCGCACGACGAAGGATCTGGACTCGGGGTATTCGACGTCGTTTAAGTACAGCGGGACGCCACGCACGGAATTGGGGGCCATCATGCACCAGGACAACCCCTTGTAAATGTAACCCGATTCAACCCACGACTCGAACAGGTGCAACTACTGCTGGGCCCGTCGCCATCGTCGAAGGTTCTTCGACAACTAGGTAGTCGGCAAGGAAAGCTACAGCTTATGGACATTCCCCTCCGCATCAACACGATATCCCAGCTTCCATACTTTGAGCGCAAGGCCCAGAAGAGCGAGCGAGTCTGAAGAAGATCGTTAGCGTCCATAGTTCGGCATCGTCTTCGAGTAGAGCGGCGTACCAGCGTTTCGGTGACTCTTGAGCCTAGTAACGCAGTCCCAGCCGTAGCATGCCACCGCCTTGTCTGCACCAGGCATCTGAACCTCAATATCGAGTGAGAGACCGCCTTGGTTGGTGTGCGTCAACTGTCATTGCTTAGCGTTTGATGATCCCCGAGGCGCTTTCACGCGGGGCCTGAGAAATTCACCTCGTGCAGCATGGTGGTTCCAAAGGTCTTCAGTCCGTCAATGGGACGCGTTCCCTGCGGGAGCCCAGCCACAAACTCTTTCGTTGTAGCACGAGCGACCCACGCGTCATCCACTGTTGGCCATCCCTCTTCATTCGACCTCACTGAGAACCAAGTGCAAATGTCCATGTTGTTCGCGTGCGTTGACTCGGTGGCATACTGTGGGTCGCTGGACCTGACCTCCTTACCGGCCTCTTGGTCTAGTTTGAACTGCGCGAGGTTGATGTAGTTGGATGGGAGAACCGCGGCTTTGATGCCCACTTGGCCAGACCCCGAGACCCAGTTCGTCTGGTAGCACTGCTTTTGCAGAGCTTCGAACCGGGCCCGGCCTGCAAACTTTCTGCCCCCCCAGTTCGCATTCTCAACGACGACTATACCAGCAAGTTTAAGTCTGTCAAGGTTGCAAAAAACTGCCTGTTGCCGGGTGGTCAGGTCCCAGTGTCAACATGAGGAACGGGGCGGACGAGTACACGGCGTTGGATGGCCATGTGGCGTTTTG